GGAGAAGGAGGACAGGGAGCGCAAAGCTTCCGGTCTTGATTAGGGCAACTGGATCCAGGCCCAGCGCGCGGCTCGACAGGAGCGCCGCGACTGGGCCAGCCACCCGGGCGCGACGCCGAGGTGGCAGGCGAGACCCAAATTGGAGTCGTCGGCGCCGTGGCGGAAGGCGAGCCGAGGTCTTGATGGGGCCTGTGGATGAGGTCTCGCGGCCAGCCTCCCGATCGCCTTCAGCGCGGAGGTCGTCGTCGACTTCGCCGCCGCGCTGCGTCCGCAAGCTTACCAGCAAGAGCGCCGGGGAGGGGCAGCGCGCGGATCCCCAGGAGGGCCGTCGAAGACGACCACGGCGGGAATCTGAGCGTGAAGATCGCAGGGCTGCCGAGGAAGTGAAGTCGCCAGGATAAGGCGCGCCAGGAGAGGAAGGGGCAGCGGGAGAGGAGGAAGCATCAGGAGAGGCGGACGCGACAAAGGAAGACTAGGAGAGGTCACGAGGACGACGATGACGATCAGCAGCCCCAGGAAGCGACGAGGCGTGCAGCAAGGCGCCACAGGAGTAAGGCTCGGTCCAGCACGGGCCAGCGGCGCTCCCTTGCCCCAGGAGGGGGCGAGCCGTGGCGGAAGTGGACGGAGGAAGGGCGCGAGAGGATCGACATCATCGTGGAGTCCGGCGCCTCCACGTCGATGCTTCCCCGGAGCGTGGCCCCCGGCCGCCCGTTGAAGCCAGGCGCCAGTCCGAAGGTCCACAAGACGGCTTCGAGGGATGAGGTGAGGAAGGATGGCGATAAGGCGTTCGTCTGCTGCTTTATGAGCGGGAAAGACATGGCGACGACGTGGGAGGTCGGCGACGCCCATCGGCCGCTATGCTCCGCGAGCCGCGTGGCTCGCAACGGGAGCTGCGCGCGGTTCGACGCGGGCGCGAACGGCGGCAGCGGCATCTACAAATTCAAGACGGGCCAAAGCATGACGATCTTCCAGAAGGATGGGATCTACGCGCTGCCCGCTTGGATCAAGCCGACCGTGAACCCATCGGGTTTTGGTCGGCAGGCGAAGCCGTAAGACCGCAACAGCCTGCGATCTATCCGATCGCGGAGGCTGTCCAGGAGGCACCGCAGGACGCGGCGCCGGAGGAAGCGGCAGGTTCGGAGGAGACCGCTGGTTCAGTGGCGATGTCGGCGCCCGTGCAGCCGACGAAGCAGACGATCGAAGACCACGAGGTTAGCCACACACCCTTTCGGAGCTGGTGCGCGGCGTGTGTTAGGGGAAGGGCTAAAGGCCAACCCCATTTCAGGATGCGCGATCGCGAGGAGAACGTGCCCACGTTCAGCGTCGACTACGGCTTCTTCGGGGCGCCCGGGAGACTCCGCTGCAGGCCGCGGCGGGGAAGGACTTGCCTGTGCTCGTGGCCTACGACAGGAAGTCGAAGGCCATCTTCGCGCATCCAGTGCCCCACAAGGTCGACGATTGCCCGGTAAAGGTCTTAGTCCGAGATCTGGGCAGGCTTGGGTACAGGAAGGTCAATGGCAAGAGCGACCAGGAGGCGTCGATCTTGGCCGCATGTAGCGCTGCGAAGGTTCTGTGGAAGGGCGAGCGGGCGCAGGAAGAAGCGCCTGGAGGCGAGAAGGCAGCGAATGGCGAGGTGGAGCGAGCAGTGCAGACAGCGCACGGGCTCGCGCGGGCGCTCAAGGAGCACGTGGAGCAGTACGCGAGGACACAGTTGGACCCCCGGAGCCCCATGCTGGCGCGGCTCGTCGAGCACGCTGCGACGTTGCATTACTTGTTCAACAAGAGCGGCGACGGCATGACCCCGTGCCAGAGAGCCAAGGGCAAGCAGCGGCAGGTTGCGCTACCAGCCCCCGGGGAGGTCATCGATTTCAAACGGAGGACTCGTCGCGAGCTTGAGTCCAGATGGGAACGAGGTTTGTTTTTTGGGAGTCAAGGTGGGCGCCGCCGAGCGCGGATCGCGGCCGCCAGCAAGGGCGCGCACGTGGCGCAATCCGCCAGGCGCGTCCCGGAGGGGCGGCGTTACGACGCAGAGGCCGTCGGCAACTTGAAGGGGCCCCCTTGGAGACCAGTGCCAGACGGCCCAGCAGACCAGGAGGTGTTGGAGCTTCCCGGCGCGGCGGAAATTATCCCCGACTGCCCGGAGGCCCCGGCGGCGCCCGTGCAGGCAGCCGACGGCGATGGACAGGTGAGGAAATATTACATTACCACGGCCGACTTGGGAGAAGTACGGGTTTACCAGCGGGCGCACAGCATGCGAGACTACCCGGGGGGATCTCCCTCGGATGGGTCTGCTGCGCTTTCCAGAGTGCAGGGCGCGGATCGAAGCGGCGATCGCTTCGGACGCGCGTCGGAATACCAGATTCGCAGCGGCTCAGCAGAGACTCGAGGCGGAGAAGGCAAAGGAACGAGTTGTAGGTGCAGCTCCGGATGGAGAGCCAGACGCGGCGTGTCCGCGTCTCGCGGGGGGGCTCCAGCGCCGTCTTCGAACGAAGGGCGCCCGGTGGCTGCACCGCCAGGCGCGGCCGGATCGCAGCCTGGAGCCATGGATGTTGCACCCGGCCAGGGCTCCAAGCGCCCTGTGGAGGACGTCGCTGGCCAGGATGGCCCCGCAGCTCGTCGACCAGCTGGGGTCGAGAGCGGACCAAGCCGAGCAAATTATCCTTGCGCTTGCTCGCGCTCAAGGGGATCGCGTGCTGCTGCAGATCAGGGAGGAGGCTGTCGAGCAGCCCGCGGTGGACGAACACCACTTCGAGTGGGGCGACGAGGAGTTTTTGGATCCCAGCGACAGATGTTACATGGATGATCTATATGGGAAGGCGTTTCCGGCGGATGTGGCCCAGGAGGCGAGGATGGAGGATGTCAAATTCATCGACAAGATCGGGCTTTGGGGCGTTGTTCCCAGGCCAAACGGCGCCAGGGTAATTGACGCGCGCTGGGTTGGCGTCAACAAGGGAGACGCTACCGACTACCAGGTGCGAAGTCGCTTGGTCGCGAAGGAGATCCAGCAGAAGGGAGCTTTGGAACATTACTTCGCGGCGATGCCGCCGCTGGCATCCCTCGAGATGTTGCTCTCCCTGGCCGTGACCACGACGTGGCCCGCCAAGGAGAAGACCTGCTCAAAGAAGGGCAAGTACGTCGTGCAGTTCCTGGACGTCAAGGAAGCCCATTTCTGGGCCATGGCTGATCGCGTGCTGTTCGTGGAGCTCCAGGAGGAGTGCAAACGAGCGCGTGGCCTTACAGGTGATGTGGTTGGCCAGCTACGTCGTTCCATGTATGGGATGCGAGACGCGGCGCCCCTGCGGGAGAAACTGGTCGCATCGAAGATGCGTTGATTAGGGTTCCGTCAGGGCCGGAGTTCCCCTTGTGTCCGCTGGCACCCAGTGCGCGACATGCGCGCGACGCTCCACGGCGACAACTTCGTCGCCTTGCTGCGAGGGTCGACGCCGACTGGTTCGAGAAAGAGTTGAGCAAGGACTGGACGGTCAAGATGGAGGGCATCTTCGGCCCACCTGTGGAGCCAGATTGTGATCAGAGCATTCGTGCGCTCAATCGTTTGGCGACGTGGACGAGCGCCGGCATCGAGTGGGAGTGCGACCCGAGGCACTCGCAGATCTTGATTCGCGAGCTGGGAGTTGGTGGAGCAGGCGGTAAGGTTACGACGCCTGGGATCAAGCAGAAGCCCGACGACGACGATGACGACGGAGACGAGCCCATTCAGCATGATCAGGTCCGCTGGTATAGGTCTCTGCGCATGCGCGTGGCCCACGTGGCGCAAGACCGCCTGGACTTAGGCGTGGTCACGCGGGACTTGGCCAAGGGCATGAAGACGCCGACTACCCGGCGCGTTGCCATGTTGAAACGGGCTGCCCGGCACCTTCGAAGGCACCCGAGGTTAGTGCCGCATTTTCGGAACCGGGAGATGGCGACGTCGCTGCAGGGCTGGTGCGACGCAGACCACGCAGGCTGCCACAGATCGAGGAAGTCCACAACAGGCGGCGCAGTGTTGGCGGGAGGTCGCTGCCTCACACACTGGTGCCGGGGCCAAGCTGTGATCGCCCTCGGTTCGGGGGAGGCTGAATATTACAGTTTGGTCACGCCCATGTCCGAATTGCTTGGGATTCGACAGGATTGGAACCTCAAGTACGGCCTGGGTGTGAACATCGATGCAACGGCCGCGATTGGCATGGCATCAAGGCGCGGACTTGGGAAGGTGAAGCACATTGACACCGTCTTCCTTTGGATCCAGGAGCGGATCGATGCACTGAAGGTGCAGGTCGCGAAGCGACACGCGAGTGAGATGCTAGCTGATCCACTCGCCAAGCATCTTGCGCATGACAAGATTTTGGCGTGCTGCAAGGGCCTCGGCTTTACCTTCGCCGAGGGCCAGCACGAGCTGACGCTGACGGCTTGAGCCCGGGGTTGGGAATCTAGGCCGGAGCGCGTGGGGCGCTCGGGCGCGGCGCGCCGGAGCAGCGCGAGCACCCTCGGGAGGCGTGTCGAGATCCCACGCGCCCGCAGCCGTTTTACGGTTCAGAGAAAAAGCGTTTTCATGATCACCAGTGTTATCTTCATCACCATCTTCATCAGCATCGTCATCATCGCCATCGCCATCATCATCATCACCATCACCATCGTTGTCAGCATCATCATCATTACTGCACTCATCATCAACAACAGCATCATCATCAGCATCAGCAGCATCATCGTCATCAATATCACCATCATACCCAACATAATCGTCACCATCATCATCATCATCACCATCATCCTACTCATCACCATCGCCATCACCATCACTATCATCAGCACCGTCATCATCATCATCATCATCAGCAGCATCAGCATCAGCATCAGCATCAGCATCATGGAGTTTCACCCCCAATCATTAGCTGTATACGTTCTCCTGGCCAAGCCAGGAGGGATTGGCGTATACACCGCTGCTGTCTTCAGGATGGGCCTGGCAGGGACCCGTGGATGTGTGGATTTCGTCGCCCTAGGAGGCGCCGCTGCTCCCCTCCCACTGCCCAGCCCCCGAGGTGCTCCCCGGCCCGGGCGCCGCCCTGGATCAGATCTTGCCCTTACGGCTCGTGGGCCCCTGGGCCCGGTGGAGCACCAGCGCTCCCGGCCTCGAGTTCCAGCCGCAGCCGTTCCGGCCGCTGGAAAGTTCGGAGGAGGAACAGCGGCAGGAGCATCAGCTTTCGGAGGCCCGCGCGGACTTCTGCGGAGGGAGGAAGGTACCAATACCACTGCCCTTCACTCGTTTCGGCCTTTTTGAGCCTCTGGGGAGGTCATCGTCGGATGCCACGGCTGGATTCGCTTCGAAATCCTAGTCGGAACGCGCCCTGGGAGAGATTAGGGAGTAGTGGTATCAGTATGTTTTTGGTTTCCCCACTGGCCCGCTCCGTGCGCAGGGTCCTGCGCCGATCCAAGAAATCTGCGCGGATCTCCGATGGTTTGTGTCTGTGCGGTTGCTTTCTTCCTCCAAAAGCTGGAGGGAACACCGGCTGTGCTTCCGCATGCTGGGAGACAGGGTGGTGTTCCAGGTGGCCGACGCAGAAGATCGGGTTCGATTGCGCAGACATTCGCGCGTGAGCTGCCTTCGTAAAATTGCAAGTTCCCTCGTTTCCAATGTCGCGTGCCGCGCTGGCGGACTGGGTAAGCCACCGCGCAAGGCCACTATGTCATCGTTCGCAGGACCCCTTATTCTTCGCCTCTCAGGTAGTGAGCGCCCGCGCAGGCTTCCGCTGGCGGTGCTACCCCTCCGCGCAGGAGTGCGGCGCGGGCGCGGCGCGGACGCTGCCGCGCGGCCGCAGCAACGGAGTAGGGGTGGCTGTCGGGGGAGAGCAGGATTTTTCGCCATGAATCAGGCCAGGAAGATGTACCGATACCGCTGCTCGTCCTGGCGACCTCTCGTCGCCAATGTTGGATCCTCTTCGAACGTCTGGTCAGACTGCACCACCGTCGTCTGGTCTGTTGCGACAGTGCACATCCTTCTGCAAGCTGGGCTCCTCGGCGCGGGTGTTGCCGCCCACCGCGCACACCGCCTCCCTGCTGGTTGTGGACGACGCCCTCCAGGCCTGCCTGGAGCAAGTGAGCGGCTGCTCGCCCCCCGACTCCTACCGGCGGCAAGCCCAGTTCAAACTCAACATGGGAGGGTTCGACCTGCGCTCCGCCGCAAAACTTCCCGAGCGAAGAGCACCGACCTCTACTGTCGGGTCTACCCTGGCTCGCGACGGGGGTAGCTTGGCGGCTGCGCTGCGGGCCGACAACGCAGTTGTGCTGGACACCGACCAGGTGTTGTTTGACCACGAGCGGCACGGCCACCAGAAGGCCTTGTTAGACGCGGCGGACATCGCCGCGTTCGACGGGTTCCTGGCCGACTGCACCCTGGCCGGCAAGGCGCACTTCTCCTTGGTACAAGCCCCAGGCGCCGACCTGCGTGGCCACTGGCACCGCCTTCCCGCGTGGCCTCATACAGTGTGCCCTGCAAAGGCGGCTGCGAGTCCAGCTTCTGGAGGAGGAGTGTTTTCGCCCGGCGTGTGGCGGGATGATGGACGTTTTCTGCGACCACGCCCTGGTCTGCGCATGCCGCGGCGACCGGACCAAACGCCACAATTCGGGTCGATTCGGGTATAGCCAGGACCCCAAGTAAGGGGACCCAGGTAGTAGCGGACCAGCACGCCCAGTGGCTCTCGATCTCCCTGCATAGGGGGAACGCGCGGGCGGTGTTGCGGCCCTTCCCGACGCAGGGCCTCCGTGGTGGAGGTTATTTTTTTGTGGGCACCTCCGCTGTTTCGCGCCCACCGCCCTTCTCCTTGTCATCCATGTTGGGCAGCACGGGCGCCCCCCTCCGCGCCCCTCCGCCGGCCGCCCATTCCTCGGCGGGGTGGTGGATGGATCCCGCAGAGGGCAAGCCCCGCCAAGCCGCAGCGTGCTGGGCTCGGCCAGGCACCCCACAGCGATCCCGACGCTCCCCCCGACGCCTTTCCCGACGCCCAGCCCCGCGCCCTGCCCCGCGCCCTGCCCATTCGCCCTGCCCACCTCCAGCACGACGAAGTCGACGACGAACCCGACCACCGCCGCCCACTCCAGCACTAGCGTCGCCGCCGCAGTGGCCGTAGCCTCGTCGCGGGTGGCCCTTCTCTCCTGGCCCTTGTTCTGTCGTGTCTGTTTGCGTTTGCTCCCGTCACCCTCCTCGTCTCCCGTCCCTTCTCTCCCTCGCCTTATCCTCCCTTGCTCCCTGCTTCCTGCCTCCCTCTGTCCCTTCCCGCCTACCCGCCCGCCTGCTTTGCCCCGCCAGCCCTGGCCTCCCGCCTGCGCGTTTGCCTTCGTCCGCTTGCTTGTCGTTCCCTTGCTCCCTCTCCGTCGCCGCGCAGCACAGGCTGCCTGGAGCCAGCGGCGCCCGATAAGGCGTTTCCGACAGTCATGTTTCCATGGCCCTCGCCTTGCCGCGGCCAGGCTGTTGAGCGGCAATTAATGGCGGGGTCCCGAGGCCGAAACGCCTCTGAGAAGCCCCGCCGCCTTCTGAGAAGGCCGTCTGTTTTCTAAGTTCCCCCTCCTCGCTCGCCGTCGACTTTGTAACATTGTCGCTGACACGGGCCGTGGTTCAGCTGGAGTTCCGAGGAGTAGCGGTATCGGTGCCTCTTTGTCCTCCCACTGTCGCCATGAAGCAAACGGGTCCCGAGGGAAGCAGCGTGTCCTCAGGCTTCTATTCGTTTTCGGCCTTCAGGGGCCCTCCCCGGTCCCCGAGGCCGTCAGAGAACGACCTCGGAGTGAATGGCCGGTCTTGTCGCGAGGCCCCAAAGTCGAGGACCCGTGTCCGTCGGGACCGTTTCCTTTCATTCACCGAACGCGTTCCACCATTCGCAAAACGTCTGAAACACACACACACACACACACACACACACACACACACACACACGTTTGCCCCGATGTAAGTCGCGGGGCGCGCATACCAACCACACTTCGCGGCGCGCACGCAGGAGTGTCGCGAAGGGCACGGCCTCCTAAGGAATGCTGGGGGAGGGGGGGGGCTTGTCAGAAGGCAGCTGGCTCTCTTGGGAGCCCGCACGGGCTTCTCGGGAGACCCTTTCAGAAGCCCCCCCCAGGGTTTTCTCAAGGGCCTTGCCATCCCTTGAGGTCCGACGCTGCGAACAAAAACAGCACGAATTACGAAGAGCCGCTCCCCGAGCCCGATCGACCTGTGATGGTCCTGTCACGATCGACCTGTGATGGTCCTGTCACGCCTGGTGTGAATAAATGTGCAGCTCCCGGACCTCAGGTTCTACGTAACCCCACACCCTCCTTCTCAGAAGGCCGCCGCTCTCCACGCCACCCCCGCGCGCGTGCCCACTCCAGAGGACGGCGACGGGCGCACCTTCCGTGTCCAGGACCGGACGGGGCTAGGACGAGGAGAAATCAGCTCCAGAGCGTTCCGCAACGCTTTGAGAAGTCCGCGGCGCCCGAGGCATCCTCCAGAGCCGCGGGATCCTCACCCGATGTTTCACCCTCGTCCCGGCCTCGCCTTACAGGAGGAGCCGTTCACCATCCTCACCGTCTCGGTGTGGCTGAGGGCAGCCGCCCGGGGCGGCGCGGCCGGGGCGTGCGCAGACGTACGCGTGGAGTATTCCCTGGGCGACACGGGCCTCCGCGCCGCCATCTTGGATGTTCGCTCCGGGGGCCGTCCTGGGGCCCACCCCGGCAGTGTTCGGTTCGATTCCTCCGGTTCGATTCGATTCGGTTTCGATGGCTTCCGATTCCGATTCGATCCGATTTCGGATTCCGATTTGGGATCCGATTTCTCATTGGGGGCCTGCTAGCCTGCCGATGTCTGTCGATTCGACTTTCCTGACTCAGGTGCCGATGTCCGCCGATCCGATTCATTTCGATTGCCGATCCGACTTATCGATTCGATTCTTGGCTCTCCTGCCTGGGGGATCTGGTCGATTCTAGCTCGACTCAAGTTCGACGCAGCATCGACGCATGAGCGGCGCGAGTTTGGCGGCGCCAACAAGGGGGTGGGGCGAGGAGGGTGGTCTTCCAAGGAGGCGCAGGGGCTTCTTAGAATGCAGGGACCCTCTTGGAAGGCCCCAGCTTCCAAGAAGGCCTCCCGGAAGCCGCCGGGCCCTTCTGAGAAGACCCCTACCTTCCAAGAGCCTCCCCAGCCTTCTTAGAAGCCCAGCCCCCTCGCGCCACCCCTTTGTGGGCGCCGCCAACGCGCGCAGGGTCAATTCCGATCCGATCGACCCAATTCGATGTCGATCTCGGCTGGCCCGATTCCGATTCGATTCGAAGATATTCTGACGATCCGATGCGGCCCGATGTTTGCCTGGCGCTGTTGTGCATCCTGTCGCAGCCGATCCGATTCGATTTCGACTCCGCGCTTAGCCGCCCGATCCGACGCAGGCTTCGATCCGATCCGATTTCCCCGTTCGACGCTGCCTGAGCCTGACGTGTGGCTCCAGGGAGGTCACCAGAACGAGCATCTGAGGCATCGGGCCCAGCTACTACCAGTTCCCGGTGCGGGGCCGCGGCCAGGCCGACTTGCCCCGGGACGCGGCGCCGCGAAAGGGCGCGCTGGTCGCGGCCGGGCGCGGGGAGGGCCATCCTCGGCACCGTGGGGGCGGAGTAGGGCATGCCGATGGGGGGGGGGGCCCTGAGATCTTGGCGTTGCATTCTTTTCACGGCGGAGGTGTTTGCCTCGCTTCGGGCCCCAGGACCGTCACAGATCGATCCGTTGTGAAAGATGACGCAGAAGGATTGGGTCCAGGGCTTCGGTCGTGATTTTCTGCGGCGCTTTGGAGCACCGTCAGATCTCAGGAGAGCAGCGTCAGTAGGAGCATGAGCAGGAGGAGGACCGAGGAGACGCAGGCACTCATCGAGGCGCGTGGATCAGCGACGGGTCCTGGTGCCGTGCAGAAACAGCGCGCTGCGTCGCTAAATCGGGCTGGCTTCATGTTTCGGGGGGTATTGCACTGTCCCCGATTCGTGGATCCATGCTGGCATGCGGTTCCGATGGGAGGCACCTTCAGCGGGTGGAAATTTAATTTTCGGATTTCGTCAAGAATGCCTGATTTATCTTATTCGGTAGACTTGGACGATGCCCTATCCGTCACTCTTCTCTCGCATGCGCGTCGTGTTGCCTCCAGCTCCGCTCGCGGAGCGAGTTGCCTCCATAGGTCTCTCGACCGGACTTGACTTGATTTGACCGATAGGAGGTGGAGGAGGCTCCAGGAGCCGCGCTCGGCCCATTCGGTGAGCCCCTTGCTTCTGTCACCGCTTACTTGCTGCGCCCGGAGGGGCAGGCCCTCGAGATCGCACTCGTCCGACTCGGCGGTCCTGTGTTTCTGCCACCGCTCGATGGCTGCCCTCGCCGTGGGCCCCAGATCTCCGGTGCTGTCACGTTTCCAGTGCGGGCGCGCTCTTGCGCGTTCGGCCCCTGGGGGCCGTTCTCGGGCCCTGGGGCCGAATTATATACGACAGCGAAAACAATTGAGGTAGTAAAAATATACGTTTTGCGAAGGGAATGGGGCTATTTTGCCATTTTGGAGATCTCTTCGGGCGCGTCTTGGAGGCCTTTTGGGGCGTCTTGGCGGCTTCTGAACGGATCCGGGCCGAGAAAGTTGCCGAAGGGAAGGGGCCGGGGCCCCATGGGGCCGCGCACTGGAACATCCTGGCTTGCCTACAGGCTATAGGCCCACAGCAGGATATTCTAAGAACCTCCTGTGGCTTACACGGAATCTGATTACGCCATTGCTGGTTGAGCCCGCCTTGTTTTAATCAATCGGTTTCATGTTCTAAGGACAATGATTTGTTATTATAATTTCCCTTTGTTTTAGGAGCGTCTCGTGGTAGGCTTGTAGACCTCCTCAAACATGAAACATGAGATTTCTCTGTCTGGGCATGGGCTGTGGAGTCTGGGACGGAAGGGGGAAGATGAGGAGGAGCGGGCTATGGAGTCTGGAGCAGGGCATGGCGCCAGATGTCGCAGAATGGTTTCGCCTGGCGGGTCATCATCAAAACGGTGGAGGCGGAGAGATGCGGACAATCAAGAAGTGCCTTCCACGTCGAAGCGGGGTCCTAAGGGACAGAGGCCCTGCGCTTCCTTTCGCCATCCTCGGCCTCCCAGGGCCCGTCCCGCGTCCAGAAGCGGCCTGGGGCGAAAGCTGGCTCGAGGGGCGGGGCGGGCCTAGGAGGTCCAGGTCTTGATTCCATCAGGACGCCTACCTGTCGTGCCAGGAGGAGAAGGAGGACCAGTGCAAACCCAAGACGCCTCAACGGTGTTGCAATCAACTATTCCTCCAAGTTCCCTCTTCATAGATCGCTGCATTTTTCTTCATTGCGGGACATGGCCCGTTGGAAGAGGACAGTCTGAGAGTACTCAACCGCGCCGAAGCACAGCGCCGGGGACTTCAACGTCGCATAGTAACGAGACGGTTATCCTACATCGTGCCAGCATTCGTGGGACTGCAACGCCGCGGAAAACGTGCCTGTTGCGTCCTGACAACCCTGAGCCGTGCCAGATAACGATTCCGGGATTTCGACCAAACGAATCCGTGAAATTGTCGTAAACGTTGAAGACAAGTTCGCGCGGCGCTGAGGCGAGAACCACATCTTGAAAACGATCCGCCCTCCATCCGTGAAGTTGCTGAAAACTTTTGAGACGAATGTGCGCGGCGAGAGCCACATCTTGAAATCACCCTCCCTCCGCCCGCGAAGCTGCTGCAGATTTCAAGCTTCAGGATCACGAGTGGCGAGGAGGTCTCCAGCGAAACGCATGGCCCACCCTACCAACACGCTTCGGGGTGCGACAGTGAGGTGTTACCTGTGAGGAAACGGGATAGAGGAGGAGGAGGGGAAGGAGGAGTAGGAATAGGAGTAGCAACATGACGATGCCGACAAGAGAGCACTGCCCCCCGAGGCTCCGCTGCGCAGCCCGTTCAGCTGCGCTCAAAGGCTTGGGAAACACTCTTCGATGAAAACGGTCGATATATGACCGCCTAGTATCATTGAGGGAATCGGCACCAAGACACTACTGCCTGAGCCCAGCTTGCAGTTTGGCCGAGAAGAAAACCCGCACGCCCCACAGATCCAGACCCTGAGTGACTGATGAAGCAGTATACGATGAGATTCATGAGCCCACCCCCCAGCGAGGTGCAACTTCCTTCTAGGCCCCCTGGAGATGACGGAGTCAACACGTTCCAAAGGCGCACAAAGAGATGCTAGCCACTCCTGGATGATGGGTGTCGTGCCACTGCGATGGCACGTGGTACACTTGAAACCACAATCGCTCAAAGTGTGAGGCGTCTGAAACCTGACGACATTCGCTGGGGAAGGCGGCGGCGGAGCCTGTGCAATCGGGGCACGGCTGCCAGAGTCGGGCTCGGCTATCTTCGCTGCCTCGCGCTCAGCAGCCGTGGCCTCCAGAGTCGCCCTGAGGAGTCTCCGCCTAATCAGGACTGCGCGCTTTTCTACTTCCGCAACCCTACTGCGAATACAAGGTGGAACCCTACACTTTCAGCCGCGCCGCAGGCGATGGCGTCAGCCATTTCATTACCACGAACAAGCCAATCTGGTGCATCCTTGTCACACGCGCCCTTAGCTTCCATGTGAGAAGGGACTTGTAGGACGACGATCTCACATCTCACTGGGGCCTCTGCGCTTAACCAAGGCCCCGATCTCAGCCCACAAACTGTTCAACTCATTCTTGTCCTCACAAAGATACTGCCGTGCATACCAGCCCCGCAAAACATTCTCATTATCTGAGACATAGACTGTCGGACCCGCAGAACATCTGATAGCGAGCTCGAGACAATGCAGTTCACCCCTTGGTATCGATTGCGAACGTCCTGTGAGGGATCCTGCTATCTTGGGCCCGATGGTCATGGTGATCGGACCGGTCAAGACCACAATTCCCAAGCCCATTCCTCAAAGGCGAGAACCGACTGTCAGGCCCCCCCGATGCGTTACCGAAGATGAGGAGAGGCTGGTTCGGGGTCCCGACTCCAAGGCAACCTGCTCCGATTTCAGAACTCAACAGATCCACTCCAATCCAACCTTCTTGCATAGCTGGCGATGGTGTGGCTGTCATATGTCGTGGAATGACTCCGCGATACCACAAACAACTGTCGCTGTCTCCCTGCGCCAGTGCTGCAGGGACAAGCGATTCGGAATCTTCGCATCCGTGTTGGCAGGACAGATCCACCCACGGTGCCTCATGTCCTCTGGTGCCTGCTTGCACCTAAGACAGAGGTTGGACTTGCTCAAACGAACCTCGTGCTTCCTCGAACGTGTCCAACATCCACCCGCGGCAATCGTCAGCATGAGTTCAGCCAACTGATTCCCATGAGGTCCTGCGAGAAGACGGGATAACAGCCTTCTCAGAGACTCGTTGTCAGCGCCGTATTCCAGCCCAGCGCCATGGTGAAGCTTGGATGCTTCGCGCCACTGCTGAAGATCAAGGCTCTGCCCAATGTCAGAGAGAAAACCAGCCGTGCAAACGCACTGCTGATCAATGGTACTGTTTGGGAACATCCAATCAACAGGCTCTAAACCATACTCGTCGGGCCTGCGCTCGCGCGGCGGCGATATCGGGTCCCAACCAGCATTCGCAAGGCAGGTAATCACCGCCGAGATCGGCTAACTTGCCGAACCATATCGGCCCAGGCTCTGCGGACCCCTGCGCGAACGCGAGGGCATTCGATCCACGCTCGCAACCATGGATGAAGACATAACTGTGGCATCCTCACTCCAGGACCCTGCTGCGGGGCACGCGCATCAAGGAGCGTCTTGAGGCGCCGCCCTCGCCGGTGAGCTCCCGACGCGGACTCGAGCTGCCGCCGCAGTTGTTGCAGCCGCAAGCTGAGCGAGCCGTGGACGCGGCGCGCGTAGGTGGCGGCAGCCCGCGGCCCTGCGAATTCGATGATCTTCATTGCATCGTAACTCTTGGGCGCGAAGGCGCGCCTCCAAAACTTCTTATTGCACGCCGTGGCCTTCTGGGCACGCAGACGCCGCGAAGCTCGAGCCACGCGCCGTCCGCTTCCCAAGTCAACTCCAAGATAGCTCACTTGCGACACAGCTTGAATGTCAACGCCACGCCTCCTCCGCACACGTGCGACGCGCTTGCTGTCACTCATGTTGTCGCATAATTAGGCGCCGACCTGCCAACTGCATTTGACCGCGAATGATGGCAACATATTGAATCACAGCCTTCCGCGCAGCATCACGTGAACCCATATGCCCAACATACAAATCATACACCCAGATCCGCTGCGAAGCCGCTACTTGAGATGTGCACAGCCGCTCGAGGATGAAGCGAGTGAGGCATCTCCCGAAGCGCACGCCGTTCATCAACCCTGGATGATGCTCCTAGTGGGCCGAAACGGGACTGCGTGTGCTCCAAACTGCGCCAGCACTCTTGGCGCCGTGCATAATCGCACCTCGAGCAGCAGCACCACTCCTGGGAATCCCAACCGAATGGCTGCATCCGACAATTTACTCCACTTAATCATATCATAGAATGACTTGAAGTCCAGCAGTGCACGCCCGCTGGAACCCCCCAGCGCTACGAATAACTCTTGATTCATTGCTTCCAGGAAAGCCCCCTCGAGCGCTGAGTTGCCCGCCGCCGCGGCGCCCCACCCCGCAGCTGCATCCGAAGACTAGTACTTGGCGCAGGGCTCTCGGACGAGGGCGTACAGACGACAAACGATAGGTAATAATCCGAGGATTCTGCATCCACCTGCCTTCTTCGGTAGAAGACGACCTAAAATGTAAAGTAACTGCGCGGGCCACGTGCCGCTATCTTCGACGACATTGAGAATGCATGCCACGGCTGCGTGCCCTGCTGGCGGCAACCTTTGAATATCCAACGGCGTCGGCGTCAATTGGTCAACTCCCATACCCGCTCTAGCTTTCGTCCGAGCTGCTGCCACACGCACCTGATCGCCGCCGATGGGAGCGATGTCCTACATGCGGAGAGGAGGAGGAGGAGGAGGAGGAGGAGGAGGAGGAGGAGGAGGAGGAGGAGGAGCAGCAGGAGGAGGACGAGGAGGAGAAGAGCAGCAGAGCAACAGCAAGGCATCGTGTCCCCCCGCTCTCTCTCACGCCCGGCTCGCGCGAGCCGTTTCGACTCGTGCCTCAGGGCCCCGCCTGGGCGCGCGCTGCCCGGGAGCCCGCCGTCGGCAGGCCGAGGCCGCCGATGCCGCGGGAGGGCGCTGTGCAGGACCCCTGGTGCAGGGGGGGGGGGGGGGCACAGGGCTCGTCCCGATTCCTCCGATTCGATTCGATTTCGATGGCCTCCGATTCCGATGCGCTTCGGTTTCGGGCTCCGATGTGGGATCCCACTTCTCGCCGGAGGCCTGCCAGCCTGCCGACGTCTGCCGATGCGGCTTTTCCCGACTCGGCTGCAGCTGTCCGCCGATCCGTTTCATTTCGATTGCCGATCCGACTTATCGATTCGATTCTGGGCTCTCCTGGGAGCACGGGAGCAGCAGATACACACCACTCGTTGAAAGGAGGGCTCCTTCTTAGATCCCAATCTAATATGGGCTCCTGCCCATTTCAAGAGTCGAGCGGGTGTCCAGGGGGCGGGCGGAAGCCCAATCTACTTCCAACGCCTTCCTGTTTTCATGCTTCTGCCCTCTTCCTCCGACCGACGGGTACCGATAACCGCTGCTCATCCTGGAGAGCCCCCGTCGCCACGGCTGGCTTCTCCTCGAGGGCCGGGTCAGACAGCAGCACGGGAGCGGTGTCGGTGCGTTTTTTTTGCTCAGTGAAGGAAAAGACACAGTCACCAAATCAGGGCCATGCAACCTCTGCCAGGACAGGGTAGGACTGCTCTCCCAGTGTGCAGTCAAGGCTTGAAGCGAGTTCCAGTTCGGGTTCGGAAGGGGCTCGACACTTCCTTGGGTCTGCTTGCGTTCCCTCGGCATTCTGCCACGGAGCCCCCTCGGCGTTCCTTGGGCAACAGCTCGCGCGGAATCGATTCGCCGGACGGGGCAGATGATCTAAGGCAAGGGGCCCCGAACAGGGGTTAGGTTCCTTGCGACGCTGCGAAGATAATGTGCCGCGGGTTCGTTTGGGCCGCTCCTTCCGGCGCTCGGTTTGAGGTTCACGTCTACAGCCACATGCGAAAGTGATCACGTTAAGGTCCAATTCCCCGCGCGAGCCCCTCGGTTCTTTGCGCGACGCGGTTTGGGGTTTGCGCGCGCACCCACATGTACAAGCAGCAAGGTTTTAGGCCAAGCCCCTCGCGCGAGCCCCTCGGTTCCTTGCGCGACGCGGTTTTACGTTCACTTGTAGAACCATAAAATTGTAGGTTCAGTTCCCTGCGCGAGACTTTCGGCTTTAGCGCGATGCACTTTGAGGTGTACGTGCATGCCGAAATGTTAAGCTTCAGTTTAGCACATGATCCCCATAGGTTCCTTGCTCGACGAATCGATGAGGATGGTGATGGCGATGGCGATGATGATGGTGATGACGGTGATAATGATTACGACCCCGAGAAGTTGAGAATGATTGCGGAAACACAAGGGGGAGGAGGAGGAGGAGGAGGAGGAGGAGGAGGAGGAGGAGAAGGAGGATTCCTTCATCCCCTCTCTCTCCTACTTCTCGTATCTCTCTCATCCCTCATATTGAGGCCCACATGGAAGTAAAACAATTTGGATGTCTCATCAATGTTTCAGGTGACCCACCCGCTGTTGGGTCACCTGTGCGACGCGCGCTGCACAGGGGAAGCGTATGGAGCACGAATGCACCAACTCATGCTGAGGCCCAGAATGCAAGTGGAGCGATTAGTTTTCTCAACCAGTTTTCGGGTGACCCACCCGCTGGTGGGTCACCTTTGCGGTGCGCGCTACACAAGGGAAGCTTGTGGAGCACGAGTGCACCAGCATATGCTGAGGCCCAGAAGGCCAGCGGAGCAAGTCGTGTTTCTCACCCAGTTTTCGAGTGACTCATCCGCTGGTGGGTCACCTGCGCGGCGCTCGCCGCACACGGGAAGCGTATGGAGTACGAATGCACCAACGCATGTTGAGGCCCAGAATGCGAGTGAAAGAATTGGTTTTCTGAAACAGTTTTCGGGCGACCCACCCGCTGGTGGGTCACTTGTGCGGTGCGCGCTGTAGAGGGGGAGCGCATGGAGCACGAATGCACCAACTCATGTTGGGGCCCAGGATGCAAGTGGAGCAGTGAAATTTCTCAACCAATTCTCGGGTGAACCACCTGCAAGTGGATCACCTGTGCGATGCGCGCTGTACAGGGGGCGCGTATTGAGTATGGATGCATCAGCTCACGTTGAGGCACCGACTGCAATTTAAAGTATCCCTGTGCGACCCTACCTAGAAGTTGGAGCCCCTAGGAAAGCAGCATTAGTAGCAACAGTAAAGCGAAGCTAAAGCTAAGCTAACGCTAAGCTAAAGCTAAGCTAAATATAAGCTAAAGCTAAGCTGCAGGTAAGCTGCTGGTAAGCTAAAGCTAAGCTAAAGCTAAGCTAAAGCTAAGCTAAAGCTAAGCTAAATCTATGGTAAAGCTAAGCTAAAGCTAAGGTAACGCTAAGCTAAAGCTAAAGCTAAGCTAAAGCTAAGCTACAGCTAAGCTAAAGCTAAGCTAAATCTAAGCTAAAGCTAAAGCTAAGCTAAAGCTAAGCTAAAGCTAAGCTTACGCTAAGTTAAAACTAAGCTAAAGCTAAACCAAAGCTAAGCTAAAGCTAAGCTAAGCTAATATGAGATAAGCTAAACTAAGCAAAGCTAAGCTAAGCTAAGCTACAGCTAAGCGAAGTTAAGATGAAGCTAAGATAAGATTAGATAAGCAACGCTAAGCTAAGGGGACGTACCTGGGGGAACCGCGGGGTGGGGACTGGGGGAACCGCCCGGGGCGTTTTACACTGCCCGCCCCTTTAAGCAAACAAAGTAAGAACCCTCTAGGCAGAGCCTGGGTAGGGAATAATAGGTTTTTCCAAACCAGCGCTCGGGTGACTCACCCGTTGGTGGATCACTAGTGCGGCGCGCGCTACACAGGGGAAGCGTATGTTGAGGTCCGGAATGCGACGGGAACAATGGGCTTTTCTCAACCAGTCGGGTGACCCACCCGCTGGTGGGTCACCTATGCGATGCGCGCTGCACAAGGGAATCGTATTGAGCACGAATGCGCCAGCACATGTTGAGACCCGGAATGCAAGTGGAGCAATGGGTTTTTCTAAATCAGTTTTCGGGTGACCCACCCGCTGGTGGGTCACTTGTGCGATGCGCGCTGCACAGGGGAAGCGCATGGAATACAAATGCACCAACTCATGTTGAGGCCCAGAATGCGAGTGAAAGAATTGGTTCTCTCTACCAGCTTTCGGGTGACCCACCCGCTGGTGGGTCACCTGTGCGGCGCGGGCTACGCGGGAAGCGCATGGAGCACGAATGCACCAACTCATGTTGAGGCCCAGAACGCGAGTGAAACAATTTGTGTGTTCTCAGCCAGTGTTCAGGTCACGCACCTGCTGACGGGTCACCTGTGCGGTGCGCGCTGCACAGAGGGAGCTTGTGGAGCACGAATGCACCAGCATATGCTGAGGCCCAGAATGCAAGCGGAGCAAGTCGTGTTTCTCACTTACTTTTCGAGTGACCCATCCGCTGGTAGGTCACCTTCGCGGCGCGCGTTGTACAGGGGAAGCGCATGGAGTACGAATGCACCAACTCATGTTGAGGCCTAGACTTGAAGGGGGGCGCGTGGTCGTTTTCAAAGAATGCGCGTGTGACCCACCCGCGGGAGGACGAGGTGGTGGAGGAGGTGGAAGAGATCCTGGGGTAGTCTTTGGGCCGTGGCATGGGCGAGGGCCGGGCTGAGGTTTCGGCAGGGGTCTGGGCTTCGTGGCTACATTGAGCGAGCCCGATGGACAAGGCCTCTGGCTTGAGTCCGAGCTCAAGTTTGAATCCGCGCTTGGACCTGGGTCGATGCAACCCCAGACCTGAAACGACGCAGGCGTGCCAAGAAACGCCCCCGCGGTTTTGTCCCTGGCCGTTCTAAGAGCGTCCGCAGCAGACGATGCGGGGGGGCAGGTCGGTTGAGAGATTCGGCCGGGTACGGTCGAAAATAGGAACCCGATGCATGTCCAATGATGCGGAAGTCGGCAGGGAGGGCAATCGTCGTCGGTCCGCGCGCGGTCCTGCCCGTGCGCGAGCACTTTTGAGCCCCTTGCGACCGATGCAGTGCCGTGAGGGCCACGGGGCCATTAGGACTTTCGGTTTCCGAGCGCCCAGCTTGCCAGAATCATAGCCAGAGTGCAGTATCAACAGGGTTTTTAGACCCACTGCGGTTTCCAAGGTCGAGTGCGTGCCCGTCCAGTGCGGGCTGGCATGGCATGTCAGAACATGATTACATGATGTTTGCACATGAGATGTTTGCACGAACACTTGTGTGGCGCATACCTATCAGGAAGCTAACGCTAGAGGGTGTCGTACTCTCTCGCGCCTGGTCGACGAGTAAGTTGTCGGGTCACCACTGTGAGAGGCTCCACCGCCATGCTGTGAACTCGGAAGCAACTGTAAGGGGAAGCGGGGGAGGGCGCGGAAGCGGGGGGGCATGTCGTGATGGTCCCCCCGGGGATGATATCGAGAGGTACGCGGCGCACGTCTCAAAAGAAAAATCGTGACGTCGGATGTCTGGGGAGGGCGGAAGGCAGTGCGCGCATGACGGATGCTGAGGCGGCAGAAACGACGACGGCGGGGACGGGGAGGCGAAGGCAGAGGCGCAGCAGCGGGAGGCGGGAGGCGGGAGGAGGGAGGAGGGAAGAGGAGCCAGGCGGGAAGTGGGAAGAGGGAGGCGGGAGAAGGAATGAGAGAGGTTGTGATTGGAGCCCTTGTGCTACGAAACGTCTCAGGCAGAACGGGCCAGACCATCTCGCGCGCAACATCTTCGAACCTCGCATTGCGAGGATGGCTCAATCGAAACGGGCCAGACCACCTCGCGAGCGACATCTTGGAGCTCAGTATTGGCAGGATGTCTCAAGCGAAACGGGCTGGACAACCTCTCGCACACGTTCTGACAAGTCCACGTCGCACTCGCTTCCCGTTAGGTCCTCTCTTGCAACTCCTTTCCTTCTCCCTCCTCCTCCTCCTCCTCCTCCTCCTCCTCCCCCTCCTCCTGCCTGCTCGCTCATCCACATAATCCGCCTCCTCATTCTCCCTTCCATCTTCTTCTCCTTCTCCTCCTCCTCCTCCTCCTCCACCTCCTCTTCATCCCGAAAGGCATCTCGGAGCCTAGAGTTGCGAGGATGTCTCCAGCATAACGGGCTGGACCACCTCGCGCGCGGCATCTCGGACCTCAGAGTTGCGACGATGTCTCGGGCGAAACGTGCTGCGAGGACGTCTCAGGCGAAACGGGCCGGACCACCTCGAGCGCGGCGTCTCAGAGCTCCGAGTTGCGGGGGCCTCCTGGTGTCTCCTGGGGCCTCCTGGGGACTTCCTGGGGTTTCCTCCTGGGCCTCCTGTGGCCTCCTGAACTCCACCTGGGGCTTCCTGAAGCCTCTTGGGGCTCCCAGGGGGGATATCTAACCTGTGGCCGCTTGGGCCCCTCAAAAGGGAGGGGGGGCACAAGAGCAGGAAAAATCAACGAATCGACACCGGATGTGTGTATTAACCTGACACGTTCTCATAGCGGGCCTCTTGGGGCCTCCTGTGAGCCTCCTGGGAATCTCCTGTGACCCCTGGGGCCTGTCCTGGGCGTCCTGCGGCCTCCTGGAGCTCTCTGGGGCCTCCTGGGGCTCCCAGGGTCCCAGGGAGGATATGTAACATGTGGTATTCTGGGCTCCCAGGCTGGACCGCCTCTTGCGCGGCATTTGGGAGCTCAGAGTTGCGAGAATGCCTTGTGCGAAACAGGCCGGACCACCTTGCGCACGGCATCTCAGAGCTCAGAAGTTCGAGGATGTCTCAGGCGAGACGGGCCGGACCACCTCGCGCAGGGTATCTCAGAGCTCAGAAGTTCGAGGATGTCTCAGGCGAAACGGGCCGGACCACCTCTCGCGCGGCATCTCAGAGCTCAGAGTTTCGAGGATGTCTCAGGCGAAACGGGCCGGACCACGGACCACCTCGCGCAAGGCATCTCAGAGCTCAGAGTTTCGTTGATGTCTCAGGCGAAACGGGCCCGACCACCTCTCGCGCGGCATCTCAGAGCTCTGAGTTTCGAGGATGTCTCAGGCGAAACGGGCCGGACCACCTCTCGCGCGGCATCTCAGAGCTCAGAGTTTCGTTGATGTCTCAGGCGAAACGGGCCGGACCACCTCTCGCACGGCATCTCAGAGCTCAGAGTTTCGAGGATGTCTCAGGCGAAACGGGCCGGATCATCTCGCAAGCGGCATCTCAGAGCCCAGAGTTTCGAGGATGTCTCAAGCGAAACGGGCCGGACCCCCTCTTGCGCTGCACCTCGGGGCCCAGAGTTGCGAGGATGTCTCAGGCGAAACTGGCCGGACCACCTCGCAAGCGGCATCTCGGAGCTCAGAGTTGCGAGGATGTCTCAGGCGAAACGGGCCAGACCACCTCTCGCACGGCATCTCGGGGCTCAGAGTTTCGAGGATGTCTCAGGCGAAACGGGCCGAACTACCTCGCAAGCGTCATCTCGGAGCCCGGAGTTGCGAGGATGTCTTAGGCAAAACGGGCCGGACCACCCCTCGCACGGCACCTCGGGGCTCAGAGTTTCGAGGATGTCTCAAGCGAAACGGCCCGGACCACCTCTCGCGCGGCGTCCCGGAGCGCAATGTTTTGAGGATGTCTCAGGCGAAACGGCCAGTCCCGGCCAACTCAGAAAAGAGAGTTGTGAGGATGTCTCAAGCGAAACGGCCCGAACCATCAGATTTGTGTGAGGATGTCTCTGCTCCCCTCCTCCCTCGGCCGGAGTTAGCTTCTATCACAACAGCACCCCGTTCAGCAAGCTGTTTGGGGATAAACGGCAGTTCCTTGCGCGGCGCGGCTCGAGGCTTACGCGTGCAACCAGTCGGGCGACGAAATCTATACATATCCACTGCTCCCTGACCATGCCCATCTTGAACCCAGGAGCTGTGTATGCGCCCTCCTGGCCAAGCCAGGAGGGCGTGGCGTATACACCGCTGCGGGGTTGAGGATGGGCCTGGCCAGGGAGCAGTGGATATGTATAGATTTCGTCGCCCTAACCAGGCAGAACAGTTGGCGAGTCAACGCCCAGATCTTCGCGCGAGCCCCCCGGCTCCTTGCGATCGGTGCAGCTTCCATGTTGGCCGGGGCGCCGTCGGGGCTCTCGTCGTCCGCGCGCCCGGCGCCCGATTTTTCAGCCCTGTGGTTCCTTGCTCGACGCCCGCGAGCGGCGTTTCCTCTGGTCGTTTTCGACGCGAGCCCCGCCGCCCCTCAGGCTTCGGCAGAGGGGGGGGACTTTCGAGACGAAAGGCCACGACGAGGGCATCGCCCCCAAAGAGGGGCTCGGCGGCTCCAGAAACAAATGGGTCGATGCCGACAGAAAGGGGGCCTCGTTCCTTGTTCGGCGTTCCTGCTGGCAGCGCGATGATTGCACCCCCGTCCATTTGGAGATGGGCAGCGGGCCCGAGGTTGCACTGGCGAGGGTCGGGCTGGTTTCGCGCGTCCCCAAAAAGGAAGGAGTCGGTTGAGGAGAAAAATGAGGGCAAGGATGAATAGGAGCAGGGCGGTTCTGTTCCCCGATGCACGCCGAGGGGAGGAATAACGACCCGGAACGAAGATGGAGGAGGACCAAAGCAGGAGAAGGAGGAGGCAAGACGGGACAAGACGTCTTCGAATGCATACCGATCTTGGCGCGCCAGCTGCAAACGCCAAGGACAAAATCCAGCGCCGCGCGCGCACGCGCGCACGAGCGCGCGCGCAACGCGTGCGTCGACGTGGCCAGGGGGGGGCAGGGGAGGGGCAGGAGGCGAAGGAGAATAATGACAGCAATTAGGCGGAAAACGCGGGGGAGAAGGAGGGGGGGCAGAAGTGCGCGGAGGAGGAGGAGGGGGATAAGGAAAATGATGAGGATAACGCCCTGATAAGGATGCGGAGGAGGAGGAGGAGGAGGAGCAGGAGCAGGAGCAGGAGCAGGAGGAGCAGGAGAATAAGCACGAGAAGGAGCAGGAGGAGGTGGCGGAGGAAGCGGAGGGGGAGAGGGCGAGCAGGGCGAGGAGGTCAGGTCCAAATGCGCGCCGCGATGTCCGAGGACTCCTCCGTTCCTATTAGCGGCGGCTGGCGCCCTTGCCTCCTCGGCCGCGTTCGCGCTGCTCGCAGTGCTCTCGCTCTCTCTCTCTCTCTCCCTCTCTCCGCGGCGAGCCGCAGGCAGCGGCCGAGGCTGCGCGCATCAAGCAGGACGCCCCCCAGTCGCAGCTACAGAGGGCTCAGAGCAAGCACGCCCGCGCCGCGGCCGCTTCCGGCGAGAGTCTCAAGGCATTGTGCGCGGCCGAGGGGGAGCTCGCCGCCGCCGCCGAGGCCGCCCAGGAAGCTGCCGCGCGGGCCTCGCAGGCCCGCCGGTCCATGGCCGAGCTCAATTCGCAGTTGAAACCCATGGCAGCGGAGCTGGGCCATTGCGTTTCTCCTCCTGCGCCTTCTCTTGGCGATCAGGCTCTCGGCGCTGCTGCGCGCGGCCAGCCCGCGTCCGCTGCGGGGCGGCTGCCAGCCGCTGGGGATCATCCTGTAGAGCTCGACCATCTCGTCAACGATCTGGACTTCCTCGTTTGTCTTGAGAGCGCCCACGGAGTCGCGCACGAGGCCGCCGCCAACCTCCTGCAAGCCGCCAACGCTCACGTCTCCAAGAAGGCTCGCGGCGCTGATGGAGCTCCGCAGCCTGGCGCAGGCTCCGAGAACGCCAGCCAGCGGCGGGGCCTCTTGTGGGTCGCACTTTCGCCGCTATCACCTCCAACGTGTCTGGCCTCGCGGGCTTGGATGAGCTACTCGCTGTTTCTCGCGGGCGCGCTGGTCAGGCCGCGCGCTTTCAGGGGCGCCATCAGTTTGCGACTTCGGGTTCGGAGAACAGGCCTCGAAGCACCGGGTGGAGCGCCGAGGTCCCCCCGTGCTGTCGCGTCGCAGTCTGGCGAGGGCACCGCAGGCGGCGTTGGGCCATGTCCAGGTGGCTTTCTATGCTTCGGCATCTATCTTCAACGCAGCGCTGGGTCGGCAGCTAGCTGGTCATTGTGTTATTTTGTGCGTGAGGTTATCACGTCTTTCCCCATGCCCTCTGTCATGCAGGGAGACTGGTACATTCCCCGATTAGCTTCAAGCCAGCCTCTGGGTCGAGAGTAACGACGTGGTCATTTGTGTGCTTTCGATTTCCGCGTGCTCCTCTGAACATGGTCGACGTGGCACTGACCACTTTTTGATCCACGGCAGTCTTCAACATGGCCAGGCCATCGAAGTTTTGATCAGCGTCGCCACGGGGCCCCACAAGCCCGTTCGACCCACCATGTCGTCAGCGCGCGACGCTCCCCTGGTCTGCCAAGTTCACGCGCCTCGTCGGTTTCCTCACGGGTGGTCCGTTGGCCGTGCCAGTCGCCGTCTGATGCCTGCGTGGGTCGGCGCGCGGGGCCGGTGCAGGGTCGGACGCGCGCCGACAGCGACAGTCCTCCGTCGCCTTCGCCGAGAGCCAACTCCTCTTTCTCCTCCTCCTCCTCCTCCTCCGCCTCCTCCTCCTTCTCCTCCTCCTCCTCCTCTTCCTCCTGCTCCTCGTCGTCTCGGCGGTTCTGGAGGCCGCGGGGGCCTCCCCGCAGATCCTGGGGACACCTCGAGGATATCTACCAGATTGCCCACATTGGCGCTGCCAAGTACAAAGGTCGCGCTGACGAGCTGCGTTCGGCCCCGCGCTCCTCGGCGGCTTCGTTTCCCAGCCGCTTCCTCGCCCGAGCCCGCTCGCCGCCCGGCGTCGACGGGCAGGTCGCGCTTTCCATCGAATCTCGTTCTGGCATTCTAGGCACGCAGCGCAGTTGCGCGCTCAGTTGTTGTCGGCGCCCTGGACGAGAAGCCAAGCGGCCGACGCTCGTGGGAGCTCTCAGCGGTGGGAGAGCATGGCTTCTTGCCCTGCAGAATGCCGCCAACCCGAGCCACGGCCCTGTCTCCGCCCTCTCCTCGGCCGCGCGCGCCTGAGCTTGCGGACAGCCCACATCGGCCGCTAACGCCAGGAGCGCCTCGTGGCGCCAGCGGATTCGGGATCGCCCGATGGACGGAGCTGCGGCTCTCTTCGCCGGCGCGCGGCCGCGCGCGCCGCGGCGCGCCGCGCCTCGCCCCCGCGACGCCAGGGAGAAGCTCCCCTCGCCGGCCAACCCGCCGCAGGGGATGGATTTGCTGGCCGATGACTGGTGCAGGTGGCGGCGCGTGGGCGAGCCGCACGCCGGTCCCCCCTGGCCCGCGGACCTCGGCCCCCCTTTGGTCGGTGCCCTCTGTCGGGGAGATGCGCGGGGCCCCCCGCTCCCTTCCCCCCCGCTCGGGCCGCGAGTTTGACGGGGTCTCTCCTCGTCGGTTCGAGCATCTTCCCGACGGGGCGACCTCGGATCTTATCCGGTTGCGATGGACACTGAGGCCCAGTGCCGATGGCCTGCCGCCCGCGTCAAGACTGTTTTTCTGTTCAAGCGCGCAGGAGGCATTCGGCTCATCGGCCTCTCGCACTGCCCCGCCGCCGGTGCGCTCCTGGCAAGAAAGGAATTCCATGACCTTCTGGTGGGGGCCACCGCCGGGCGCGGCTCGGATAGACTTGTCTGGGCCCAGTCGGCGATGACGGAGTGGCGCCAGGAGCGCGCCCATGCGAGCGCCCCCGTTTTCCTAGACTCGGAGAAAGCTCTTGAGCAGATCGCGCATAGCAGGCTGCTGCAAGCGGCCGTCGCTGCGCAGATCCCCATCAGGCAGCTCAGACTGCCCACTCATCTTTACCGTGCCCTGCGAATTCCCGATCTCGACGGCCGTGTCTCGCAAGTCGTTAATTCTCTCCAGTCTGCGATGGTTGGCTGCCACTTTACCGCTATCATGTTGCAGTTGGCAGTGTTGCAGCCGCTCGACATTGTGCCTGCCGTCCATCGCACGGCCCATCACGGGGTGGTGGTGGGCGACTTTGGGTCGCGCGCGCACGGGCGGGCAGCGCATGTCTTGGAACGCGTGGTCGGAGCCGCGGAGCTTCTGCGCGAGGAGCTCAGTCGAGCAGATCTGCGCACGGAGCGTTCTAAGAGCGCAGTTTTACGTGGCCCCCTCTCCGGACCTCCTGGCTCGCTCACGGGCCAGGTTGCGCAGGTGGCCTGCGAAGGGTGTCAAGCACGAAGGCAACCTCTGCATCGATTTTTCAGCAGATCGCGCGCCTCGATAATTGTTGGGCACGAGCGCTTTGCCCCCGCGCGTCAGCGTCACAAGAAGCTCATCACCATTGGCAAGCAGCGAAAGCGCAGGCAAGCACACCGCATGTCGCAGTCTGCCATTCTCTAGGCCAGAATCTGCATGCGCAGGTTGAAGCAGCGCGAGTGCATGGAAGTTCGGTTTCTCTGATGTTGCAGGCTTCGGATGTCGACGAGGTCGACCCAGCCTATCGGGTCAATGAGGGGCCTCTCATCGCCCTCGCCTTCGCGGCTTGGGACTCCCGGTTGCCTGCTTCACCCCTCTCGGTTTTGAGGGGGGGATTTGGATGCGTGAAAACGTCTACCTGTGCGCGGCTTCTCCTGGCAGAGCACCCGCGGCCCCCTGTCCGCATGCGTAGCGTTTGCGCTTCGTTTGGGCATCGCTTTTCAGTGGCTCCAGTGGTCGCGCCCATTGACTGGCACCTTCTCACCTCTTGCCCCCCCCCATCGCGCCCCCGGGCTGGTTTTGGATCGGGCGGTGGACGTTTGGACCTGGAATTGGTTTGCTGACCACTCGGCGATCCCCAAGGCCCGAGGCGACCTCCCCGTGCAACTCTTCAAGCAAGTACTTCGTCGCAAGCAGACTTCGGCACGCGGCGCTGCCTATCTGCGCCGCGTTTTTGCAGGGGTGCAGTGGCCCCAACAGCGCCTGCATGAGGCCAACTTGTCCTCCGAGTTCCCGTGCCAGGACTGCCGCGGCGCGCCTGGATCTGGCGCGCGGGCGTCTATCGCGTGGGTTCACTAAAAGTAGTTGAGGCCACTCCGCCGCCCTTCCTCGGTTTCCTGGCTGCTGCTTGCGTCGAGCGCCTGCCCCGCCTCCTCGCCGGGAGGCTGCTTGCGCCGCTTGCTGCCCCTCCCCCCTGCTTCTCGGCCCCCTGGCCTCTGGCTCTTGGGCAATGGCTTCCTGCGGGGGTATATTTTCCTGGATGGCAGTTTGCGTGGCCACAACTTTTGGGTCGAGCATCGTGGCCTGGGCTGGTCTTGCGATCAGGTCTCGGAGAGCTCCTTTCGCACCACCGCCATATGCGCCGGCTCTTTCGAGCATCACGCCGCAGACACCGATGCTTTGGAGCAGATGGCCTTCCGCCGGGCTCTGTGCGTCTCTCTGCCTGGCATTATTTTCCATTGCGATTCCAGCTTCGTCGTTGACGGCGTCCTCGAGCGAGGCCCCGTCAAGTGCTGCAGATCTAAGTCTCCGTGGGCCGAGCTGTGGCGCATTGTGTGGCGCGAGATTGTGGACTGGGGCGGTCTTGGAGGGCTGGGTGGTCTCGTGAAGGTGAAAAGGCCACGCTGCACGCGCCTAGGTCGAAAGTTGTACGTGCCGTCTACGCGTTTCACCGTGCTGGCAATGAGCTGGCCGACCTGTGTGCCGGTCAGGCCTCCGAGTTCTCTCGCCTCCCATTCACGCTGCGGGAACCTGTTAAGCGGAAGGCGAAGGTGCTCCGTCAGTGTGCCATTTGGGTGGCCCGCGTCGGGCCTGCCTTGGTGGCCTCCGACACGCTTCATGTCTCGGACGACCAGCGCATGGGCGAAACCCCATGCCCCCCCGCAGCTGGGCGTCCTCCCGCCCGAGCCGCCTGGGACTCCTCTCTCCCTCAGGAGCGCCGATGCGGCCATTGTGCGCATCGCCCTCACGGGGGCTCGAGTGCATGTCAGGGGTGCACCTTAACGGTGTTTTGGCGATTTCGTGGGCCGTTTTTGTTCCGATTTCGTTTTGCAGCAAAAGCGGACTGGAGACAAAATGAGGGCAACGACAACAAAACGAAAACGAAACACACTGTTTAGATCCATCCATGGTGCATGTCGTGCATCCCTTCAGGCTTGCTGAGACTGGCAAGGTTGGAGTCGACTGCGCTGTGCGTGGCTCTGCTGGTCTCGGTTCGCCGCCTGCGTTGTTTCCCCCGTGCCCAGGTCAGCCAGCCCCTCTCTCCTGGGGTGCGGGGGTGTTGGCTAACTTTGTGGACGACGATCAATGGAGAGGAAGCATGTTGCCAACTAATTTCCAGATGTCTTCCACATGTGTTAAACATGTTTTAACCATGTGAACCTATGTTTCAGACATGCTTAGAACATGTTTCAAACAGTTTAAACGCATTTTTTATTCAAATATAGGATTGTTATTAGGGTGTCCATGGCCATGGCATCCGCAAGGCCAAGTTGCGACGGGGAAGGTGATCGTTGTCTTATTCATTGTTTTGCCGATCGGCGCGGACCCCCCCCCACCCATGGAGTAGATCATTGCTGTTTTTTTGGGGCGCCTGTTTCGAGCGGGTGGAGTCCCCCAGAGGCTGCACTCTTGCAGACAGTCGCATTAAGCAGGGGTCCGGAGCCAGACCCCCCCTTCCTCCCCCTTTCCGCCCAATGTCGGAACGCCGAATAAAGAAAACGCTCACAAGGTACCAGGTCAAACAAAATTTGGAACATGCTGGATCGGCCTTGGAGGACGGCCAGCCTCGTGAGGGTAGGCGAGACCTCGCCCTCCCGACCTCACCCTGCAATGGTCTGTCAGGAGGGGAATAGGCACACATACTCAATTAGTCGCCGATTCCCAGGAAAATATGGGAACACAAGGGAAGCGGGTGGGGGAGACGAAAACCCAGAAAATATTGAAAAGATTGGGAATCGTTGGATTTGTGTGTACTTATTTGCGTGTCCTTGGGCCCCTTTAGTCTGATCCTGCCAGGTAGCCCGTCGTGCCGTCCGCCGAGGGCTGTTTCATGCGGCGAAGGTAATTTGTCAATTTGTCCGCAGTGCTGCGCCGAGGAGGAGGAGGAGGAGGAGAAGGAGGAGGAGGAGGAGGAGGAGGAGGAGGAGGAGAGGAGGAGGACGAGGTGGAGGAGGAGGACGACGACGAGAAGGAGGAGGCTGGGCGATGCACGACGGACGACCCGGAGCTGAGGTGCGCGGGCGACCCGTGGTGCGCCCGCTCGACACCTTCCGCCGCCGCGGCGGCGCCAGCGGCGCCCGCGGGCGAGGAGCGAAAGCGGGCGCGGCCGTGCGGTTCCCCAGCGCTGTGAGTCAGAGGAGCAGGGCTCATTTTGATTCCTCCGATTCGATTCGATTCATTCGACTTCGGATTCCGATTTGAGCTCCGATTTCTTTCTGGAGGCCTATTGGCCTGCAGATTTCTGCCGATTCGACTTCTCCCGACTTGGCTGCCGATCTCTGCCGATCCGATTCGTGTCGATCGCCGATCCGACTTCTCGATTCGATTCTGGGCTCTCCTGGAGGAGGGCCAGTAGAGACAACGGTAGTGGGCCTTTCGGGGGGAGCGGCCAAGAGGGGGATGAAGACTAGGGGGGGGATGTCATTGCCAGAGCCATCATAACTCTCCAGATTTCATGGCCCTCTTCTTATTTCAATGCATTCCTTGGCCCCTCCTGGTCCTCGCAAGTGCCTCGGGCTATGATTAGCACACACCCCTCTTGGACGTCCCCCTCTTGGACGCCTCCGATTTCGGGGGGCTCCCTCGTCGCCACGGTTGGAGGCAGTTCGGGGAATGTGTACGTTTGGATCCGAGGAGGGGCCCAGGGGACCGATAATGAGCTGCCGTTGTCTCAACTCGCCCTGCTCCGAATGAAGGCGACGACGACGACGACGACGAGGATCAAGGATCGAAGATCGAGGGTCGACTCGGAGCGGCGTGCTCGTGCTCGCCGCCCGCAGGCCTTGGGGCCGTCAGGAGCGGATCCTGGGGCGCAAAGCTGGCCCCAGGAGGAGGAGGAGGAGGAGGAGGAGGAGGAGGAGGAGGTTTGGGCTCAGAGTGGGCAGACCTCTGGGGAGGGCAGCCCGCAGGAGCCCGCGCCTCGTGTGTTGACATCCGACACGCCAGCCACAATCTATCATTCGTTTACAGCTGTGGTCGGGACACCGTACGCCCACCACGGTCTGTTCTTCATCATGGGGGCGATATCGCTCAAGGCGGGAGGCCGCCTGGCATCGCCGCAGGAGAAGAGAAGGGGCAACGGCGAGAGTATTGCTCAGGGTGCGAGCTGCTGCCGCCCTGCTGGCGGCCCATCACGGCGCACAGCAGCCAGCGAGTCCACCAACAGAGGCGATGGCCGCAGCGCCAGGATGGACATGTGCGTGCGGACAGCATCAGGCAGGCTGGTTGTGGGACTGCTCATCTTGTGGGCGGCCTTTCGCAGAGCGGCGACGACCAAGCAGGAGTGCCTCCCGCACGTGGGGCAGACAAGGCCCGCCGACGCCCAAGGCTCGACCTGGTCGCGACAGATCCAATCACGACCGCAAGCAAGAACGAGACCACGGCCTCGAGAAGCAAGCGTACAGGCTAGTCGAGCGGATTGTCCCTGCTTTGAAAACATTTTCCAGAAGCGCACGACGAGTGGAGCAGCTGGACCCCGCCCACGGATCGGAAGATGGCAGTACCAGTTCCGCGGCAGAGTGAAGCCCCGACTCATGGTAATCGCCCGCCTGGCAATCCAAGCAGCAAGAGCGAAGAAGCCAGACGAGGAGCTCAAGGAGGATATGAGTATGCTGAAGTATGCGCTGGATCAGACCAAACCCTTTGGCGAGGTCAAAGCGGAACAGGTGGCCCGGCTAGCGTCCAAGATGGAGGATCTAAAGAATACCAAGTGCCGCATCGCCACACTGGAGGCCCAGGTCGGGGAACTCGAGTACGATACCGAGGACACCAAAACCGCCCTGGCGGAGACCGAGGCCAGGATCGCAGCCGAGCTCCACGACATCATACCCGAGCCTGCTGGTGCCGAGATGGCGGTAGAGACGATGACGACGGCACCGCGTGCAGCAGCCGCAGCACAGGCGATCGCGGCGCTGCAGGAGCAGAGCCGCCATGGGACAACAGCGTACGCGCAGCTGCAGTATCATAGCCAGCAGCTGATCTATCAGATGCAGAAGATGCAGCAATACATGCAGCAGTTGCCAGGTGGACAAGGGCACCCTATGCCCGACACCAGGTCCACAGCAGCCGTCGACCATGGGGATCCCTCAGCTCCAGATGCCGCCCATGGGGGTTCCTATGCCGCCACCGTGCTCGACGGCCTCGGCGACGCAGATGGCAGCTGCGGGCGCAGCAACGGCGGCGAAGCCATCATACTCAGGGATGAGCCAGCCAGTGATGGGACCAGGGGGATACCCGCAGCCAGACATCGAGGCAGCAGTGGCAGCGGCGGTTCAGGATGTGGTCAAGGGCGCCCTGGGTCCAGGAGCGGGTGCCGAGCCCACGCAACAGGGGCCAAAGTTGGTGTAGTGGGAGCTAGTCAGGGGACCGCCGCATTCGCCGCCGCCGATAGCAGAGGAAATACGTGCAGCAGAGACGCCGTAGGTGGATCCACCGTTACTAGCAACGACACAGCCGGCGTGACCCACCCAAGAGTCGCCGCACTTGCCAGGGCCAGGAGCGGATCAGTTCCACAACTTAGTGGCGCAGTTCGGTGGCAAGAGCAACGGCAAAGGCAACGTGGCGTCGGAGCCGTGCCCGACAGGCCGCAAGAAGGCAGCGGAGGGCGGCCCGAATCCAGCACCCCACAAGTGCTTCCAGTTCCCAGCTCAAGTCGCAGGAACGCCAGCAGATACAGGAGGGGGCTCGGCAGCAGCACCTGGATCAGCCGCAGCGCATCTTTCGCCGCACTAACTGATGGCGGAGTTCACGGTCACGGGCGCAACGTCGCCAGAAAGATCTACCACGACAAGCACCTGTCAGCTCCCATGGGAAGTATGGGGAGCGATAATACCATCGAGCCCGACGCCGCCATTTTGGACACCGTCGAGGTCTCCAACATCGAGTGGGAAAAGTCGATCAATACCTCGCAAGACTGATGTGCTCTCATGGGGCAGCTGCAAGGCCTCCTCACCCACGCCAGCGTCGAGACGACCTGGTCGGATGACGACGTATATAATCAGTCCAATGGGCAATTAGAGAATGCAATGCGACTCCAGGTGGACGCGTGGAACGGCGAAGCCTTTGTGTGGTCTATTGAATCAGCGCACGTGGATAGGCTTGATTGGCGTGTCCCTGCGGCGCGCGCAGAACTTCCTACCGCGGCAACTATGATATGGAGCCAGTGCAATGATGCCGCCATCGCGCTCTGCCATGGAGTCTGGCGCAGCTGGGGGGCGGCGCGCTACAATTACAACCGACGTACTGCAGCCTCACTTACACGGGATGCGCCAGCATGGGCAGGTCGCATGATTGAGCAGCAAGCTAGGATCGCCCGAGCTAGGCGGCAGCTCACATCGAGAGCCCACGACATCTATTGCAGTGAAAATGTCGATGCCCGGATCAGAAGTTATGAGTTGCTATCCACGAGCGTCGTGGCCATAGTCCAACGAGGCGGACCACTCCCTCGCGCAGCTCGTGCGGTTGCAGCGCCAGGTGCACCGCCTGAGGATCCCGAAGCCGCGCAAGAGGAGGCTCAACAACAAGCAGTCGCGCAGAGCCCAGGGTGGGGAAATCCAGTTTAATTCGGTTTTGGACGATTCGTGTCGTCGGCGCCAGATGTGCAGCATGACGACGGTCAGGGCAGCGACTCTATCAATCTATGCCAGACCGTGCTACAGAAGACTGCAGGAACGCCGATGGCATCTGATAGAATGGAGCCACAGCCTATGTCTAAACCCACGCCGGTAGGACACCAAGCTGAGTTCCATGCACGAAGGGTACTGCTGATGGCAGTGAGTGACCGCTCCCCAGCATGGAGCATTGATCATTACGTATTCAGTGACGACTTCGCCAGGCGTGATTTGATGATATACTGCATCCCCTATGTCGCCAACGTCTCCCCGTCCACCCCGATCCACAGTCAGATGTTCGACTCATTTCAAGAACTTATGCAGGCCGCGCGTGGCATGTGCGATCAAGCGTGGACGCGTGGACTCCCCCGTCGCAGTCAGCGCGCCAGGACCTTGACCAACGTGGGCGTGAGCCCGGACGACGAATGATGGATGGAGGTGCGCCTCGCTGCGCGTGGCGCGTGATCGAATTGATCGAGCCTTTGGCGTACCTGCTCTTGACGCATTCGATCACGCAGTACCTTTGGAGGTCCAACCAGGTGCTGAACCAGGCGGAAGGTCAGATGTTACTCGTGAGAACGGTCGTCCGCGCTGTGCCCGTAGGGTTGGACAGCGAAGTTCAACGCGAGCCGGGCGGACCACCAGAAGCGGACCGTGCATGTGCCCAAGATGGCTTGCAGTCTCAGCCAGATGACACCGCATCCCATCTACAACGCAGGGCCAAGTCTGTTCTTTGGGGCCACGAGCAGATCTACGAGCACCTTCACAACACCGAGGAGGACGAGGACATGGACATAGGCAGCGCGCGCGTGTCTGACCGCAGTGAAATCCGAAACTCCCCGACCCACCCGCGAGGGAGCCTGCCTGTTTTTGCGGCGGCGGATGCAGCCACCAGCGCCGAGCCTCAACAAAGCGCCTGCGCGTTCCAGCACTTGCGCAACCCACGGCGACAGGCTGGCGACCAGCCAGCCTGCAATCGACCAGTGTTGCCGCTGTCTGAACAGCCAGCAGAGCACAGTTGGAGGGCGCGGGCGACCACGCCGCAGCCATCTGAGATTCCCAACTTCAGGCTGACGAGGGTCAGCCAGGGGGGGGCCCGCCGCACGCTGGCGCTCGCCGCTCTCCTCCCCGAGGGAGATGAGATGGCAGGCTCCCCTCTCCAAGTCGATGGCCCCGGTCAGGGCGACCCCGCCCATGGGGCGCGGCCTGAATGCCCTGAGGGCGCGACGCCGCCTGACCACGCCCAGGAAGCGACGGGGCCCCGAGGCCAAGGGCGAGGGGCCCCCGACTCCATCCCTTCCGAAAGCTATGATGGCGCGAGTGGGCCAGCGCCCGCCGAGGACATTTGTGGCGGCAGCGGCTCCCCTGAGAACCAGCCAAGCGAGCCCTCGTTGGAACCCCCCGCTGTTGCCCAGGCCGTGCCCTTCTTTATCGTCGTGCCAGGGGGTGGGCAGACAGTATGCGACACCATCAGAACTGCGGACATGCTAGTATGGAATGTTGAGTTGGAGCTAGGGGTTCTTCCGTTCCCAGCGCGGCACGCTATGTTGGAAGGCCCCCTGAACCAACAGTTTGGACCAACAGTGCGCATCGACGCTATTTCGCTGATGGTCCATGCGCCCCGATGCGGGGGATGGGGGTGCTTGGGCCAGCATAGAATTGCTGCAGGATGATGAGGGCAACCATTCACTTGCGGGCTGGTGGTCGGGATTGTGGGCTCAATCATGCGCCACCTCATCTCTGTTGCCGCTCCCTGATATTTTGCATCGCGAGATGCTTGCCACTGTTGGTCGCTCATCGAAATCATCCGACTTGCGCTGTGTGCCAGAAACGCCGCCCCCGTCAGCATCAACTCGGAATCCAAAAACGCTGTCGATGTCATCCTCGGTCATGCCACCGTTAGTTCCAGTCATTTGCTCGCGAGGCAACTGCTATCCCTCTATCGCATTGCTGCGCAACTGTGCCCACTGAGCATCGATCGCGTCAAGGCCCACGAAGATCGCCCATGAACACACTGGCTGATCACGTGGCCCGGTTGACCATGAATGGCAGCAGCGGCCCTTCCCCCCCCCTCGACCCGAGGCCCATTGACGCCACTCGCCACAGTGCCAAGAGAGAGTGGGCATGGAGCCACCTCCTGACTCCTGCCTCGCGCCTTGCTTTTCCCCCCTGGGCTCAGCAAAAGCAAGTTGAAGGATGTGGCAGGTTGGATGGTCATGTCTGCCAGGACCAACAGATGGCCGCCTCACCCCCTGAGGCTGACCCTGATATGAAAACGACTCGTCCAGGCCAGCTTCCACATGCGAGTTGTCTTGTATAACCCCAAGAGCGCCAGTGTTGAACAAGCACATGGCACGGCCAGGAGGAAGAAGACTGCCCGAGCGCGCATCATCTTCGAGCAGGTTGTCCAGTCACAGGCTCGCGCTGTTGGAATGCAAGAATCGCACAATAAGGGTGGGGGGCGCAAGTCTGGGCCTGTCTGTCATTCTTGCGTCGGGAACGTCGCCCGAGGGATGAGGACGCGAGCTCTGGTTCAACACCGAAGCGCCGCTAGGTAAGACCCCCCAGGGAAAGGCTATCCCCATTGCCAAGCAGAACATTGTCAAACTTGCTGCTACGCCTCGCATCATCATTGTTGCCTTACAGTCACCTCATTTCAAGTTGACATTTGCCTTGATGCATGCCCCACACGCTCGGCTGGGGATCCAGAAGGTCAAGGAGTTTTGGGAGGACGCCGAGTTCCCTGTGCTGAAATATAAAGTCGGTTTTGTTTACATCGATGTCAATGCGCGCGTCGGCGACCAGCCCGCCGAATGGATTGGAGGGAAAGGGTTCCCTCAGGAACAAGATCGCCCAGGGCAGTGTCTCCATACGTTTGCTGCAGGTACGTCCACGCATGCCACTAATAATTGTTTTCGAGCACAGTCCTGCTCGCGCGTATGCCATTAACAACGGCCAGCATCACGTACTTGACTATATATTGGCCTCTCAGCAAGGAGTGCTGGCTGTCAGAAGGTCGAGGTGTGGACGGAATAGGATAACGCTATGGCCCAGCCTGACCGTTTGTCCGTGTCGGTCACCTCCCAGTGGATTGCTCGTCCCCCCCACCCCACCCTGTTCGGGGCCCAAGCCGAGGAGATCAGCGCGGAAGCCGTGACAAAGCAGGGGGCTTGCGCCAGTTTTCGGGGAGCCATCCGAGCGATCCCGCTTGTTTCTTGGACGACCGACGTTAATGCCCGCCTCCAGACCGTCCAAGCTCAGATTCTCCAGGCGGCTCGGGGGGCTTTCCCGATCCCAAGACCGCGCCCAGGGAATCGCACGTGCCGGAAAGGTCGAAGATTTTGATCGCCACCCGCACAGGCACTGCCAGGGTCCCGGGGGGAAACGCGACCTGGCTGCCAGTGTTTTTTTTCGGCGCCGTACCCTGTTCAGTTTTGCCTGCCGAATGAAAACTGTGGGCTTGGTTTTCACTGGCGACGTAGATGGCGCGATACATACGACTTGGAACGGGCAGTTGGGAACGTTGGGTCACGATTCGCAGCTTACTCAATGCGATTTGGGGAAGTGAAGGGATGACTGCGGGTCAGGTGAGTGGTAGGAACAGGTGGAAGGCTTCATCCCTCTCCCACTTTCCTCTCTTCGCCCCTGCCACCCCACCCCCTGACTGCTTGGGCGGGCTCAGCGCGTTGCGGGTGACCAGAGTACTGACAGACTCATCGCTCGGTCCCTTGCGAGATCGCGTATCTGGGCCAGCCGATTCCTGCGGGCCTGGGATAAAGACGACCCGTGGAACTTGAAAGCGGATGTGTTTGCGCTGGCGTTGCATCAGTTCGTTATGGATGCGCAGGATGTTTTGGCGATCTCCCTCCAGCAAGACAGAGCTGTCTTCTTAGTTGAAGAACTCGAAGGGGTCCGTAGCTCGATTGATCATCTTACGCCGACCATGGAATGGAGCCGCCTCCACATGATTTTGAGGTTTGCTGGAAAACCCCCTAGCATCGCTTTCTCGGCCCCTTGCATGCGCGATTCGCAGGGCTCTCTTGCTGAACCCCCCAGTCAAGTCCAGGACACCATGCAGGACCATCTTGCCAGAGTGGAAAGAGGGAAGGATTTGATTGAGGAGGGAATGGTGCAGCAGTGCAACAGTGCTAGTCAAATCCCGATTCGACCCTCGCGCTTTGTGAACGCCACGGCTACGCCTACCGCGCATGATTGCACCACCCTGTTTTGTCAAGCCCAACCCAGACAACGGGCCGGGCCTGACCGTTTCCCCGATGATATCTTCAAGGCGGCGTCTGTGGACCTCGCTGAGGTTTCGTGCCCCCCTGCTTAACATTGCGGCTCATGGGCGCGAGCCTCTCAATATCAAGGAAGGAGAGGTGACATTGTTCTACAGAGCTTCGGGCGAGATGTGGGTGGCCAACGCTCAGAGGAACATGCTGCTTTGCAGCACCTTGGCCAAAATGCAGCACCGCTTTGTGAGGCAAAAGCTGTTGATTTCACGCGCGCGGCGTTGCGTGTCGCCCAGATCGGAGGTCGCCCAGCATGCTCTGCCGAATATGCTTCGCTAGACATTCGCCAGCACTGGCGCGCCACGCGCGTGCAGGAGGTCCCAGCGGGAGGGGCGTTTATTGATTTAGTTGAGGTTTTTTGCTCGGCTGTTAAGCGATTGGCCCTCCGACCACCGCGAGATGAGGGTTCCCTGGGGCGCGCCCTCCAGGCGATGGAGCTTGTGTCCTTTCGTGGTTCAGGGGGTTAAGGGGCAGCTCTACGGAGCCGCTCGCGCAACCCCCTATCCTCAATGCGCCGGCTGAGACTGCGCGCGCCCTCGCCCTGCTGCAGGAGTCGCAGCCTGGGCCCCAATTGAAGATCCCCCTCACTCCCTCGGTCGGTTCCCGTCCACGATCTACCCTTGCTGGGGGTGTGTTTAATGTTGTGTTTTCTGGAATCATTGGAGATTAGCAGGCCGCGGCAGCAGGAAGGACTGGTTTGGGCGCCGACCAAGCCTACCTTCATATTCTCTGTCGAAGACGACTGGATGCGCGCGGCCAGTGACATTGCATTCACCGATGATCTCACCATCCTTCTCGTCGGCACTGCCCAAGAGCTGCGCGATAAAGCCCGATGGGCGCACGATATCCTCTGCGGGCTTGCGCAGAAGCGGGGCTTGTTTGTCAATTCTGGAAAACCGAGGCCCCCATGGCCTTCAGGGGGGCTGGACAAAAGGCGGCGAGGCAGCGTCTCGGCCCGCAGGCCCGCCCGACCATCCGTTCTGATAAGTGGGGGCAGGATCTCGAGGTGGCGAGGTGCCACAAAGTTTTAGGAACCATGATCATGGACACGAGGGGGCTTGGAGCGGAGATTTCGCACCGCGCTGCTGGGATGACTGGGGCGCCTCGTCCCGTCGAGAAGATTGTTGCCCCGTCCCCCATTGGCCCCCCTGCCGAAGATGGTTATGGATTGTGAATCATTTGATGTTTCTGGAATGCTTTTATGGTAGCGCCATTTGGGATTATGCGCCAGCGTGCATCGGACGGCAGATTGCGCAGCCTCATGCGGCGGCACATCGGACCGCGGCCAACATTGGGCGAAGCAACGACGGCCACGAGCAGGTTGCCACTGGGAGAGTCTTAGCTGTTGTCAGGCGTCTCCCAGTCCAACTTGTTTTGTTTATTGCCCGTCTCCGTTTTCTTGTTGGTTTCCTCGCCCGTGCTTCGCCGATGGTGTGCGTGCGTTGCTTGATGCGGTATGGGGTATAACCGGGCTCTGGCCACGCCTTATCTGTCATGATCTGGCGCGGCCGCGCAAAATTGCCCCAACTGTCGAATCCCCCAGTTGGCGAAGGACACCCTTGTGGCTTCAAATGGTTAGGGGTGAGCCCCGCAGATTTAAGGCACTGGCGGGCACTGCGGGGGCCAGGGCCGAGTTTCAGTGGCAAGAGGAGCTGGGATGTGACGTGCGGCGGGCGAGATTGTCTGAGATTCTTGGATAGATCCCACAAAGCGCGGGGATCTCTCTCGCCCTTGCTTGCCCCCCCCCCCGCTTGCGCGCGGCAGGGGGGCCCCGTTCGCCGCCCCCGCCCCGCCCCCTGCTGACCCTGCGGGCGCCTCTTCCACGCGTGCGCATGATGCCCAGCTCGCGTGCTACATGTGCGGGCTCACCCCGAATAAGGAACAAGTTGTCGAGGTGCACATAGGAAAATAGCATAATCCAGCTATTAGTCAGACAAGAACTTGTCACGGGCGCGACCTGCCCATCTCTGTCTCGCGCAATTCAGGGGCGCGGCTAGTCTCCTTGAGCGCGCCCAAAGTGCGTCGAGCTGTAGGGAATAGTGGATCGACTCCCAACTGCGCCCGTCGAAGGAGGAGCTGGAGGAAAGCATTGCGGAACGGAAGGAAGGGAAGCGGGCCAATCGGGCCAGGGGCCTTTCGGAGCGCTTTGCCCATGTCCCTGCGGCCCGCGTTGCCGGCCCGCCCTTTCGCCCGTTAGTCCGCATGCCGAAACCCAGTCCGCTGGTGATCCCTCCTGTCGTGCCCCTTCCTGGTGCTGCTTCTGCCCAAGCGCCCAATGTCTTGATGCTCCCAGGACTTGCTCCTACGCGGTGTTTGTGGATTACAAAGGAGAAGCTGTTTAACGTGCTATTCGGTCCTTCGCTGAAGCCCCCATTGTGGAAGACGGATCGCGTTTGGCCGATAGTCTTTGAGTGTGATGCGAGTGACCCACGGTGCTTCATTAACCCCGACACACCTGGTGACCATGGGCCTGCTCGCTGCGAAGGGCAACATGGCCAGTCTGTTTATTGAATACACCCTCGCTGGTTTCACGCAAGCCTCGCACCCGTTAGTCCCTGAAGGCCCCAATCCTGTTCGCACCGTTGCGGCCCCCTGAGGTTGCATTCGCTCATGGAACTCCTGTTTGCTGGGTGATCCCCGTCTCCCCCATCGGCGAACGCGGCCCAACCATTTGATCGCCTCCCCCCTGAGGTCGGTGCCCTCCCGAAGCTGCCCAGGTGTGGACACGCTCTGCTGGCGACGGGACCGCCCGCAGACTCTTGCATCCCACCTTCTGTGACTTTGCGGGGTGCGTGGCCAAGTGCTGCGGCCACTGTCACGTGTGGAGGGATGGCCTATTTTTCCCATGCTGACCTTCTGGGATGCCTCAACCACCGTCTCCTCCTGTCTTGCTTCCGTGAACGCGATGGGGGGGTCATGGCGCGATCGGCGTCTACCAGGCCGCTTGAGGACACGGGCAGTGTTGTTGCGTGTGTTTGCCATGCTGCTAGAGCGCGCCTGCAGTCTGCAGGTATATCAGCCGTCTTGCAAGGAGCGAGGGACAGGATAGTGGAAGTGTTGTTGGAGAAAGGGCTGCCCCCGACGGGGTCGTGGACGGGGCCCCTGACGACTGGCGGTCTTCGTTGGAGGGATGGGGCCACTTCACACATGACCCTGCTGTTCGTCGAGGAATGCTTGGGAGGGGAGGCCGCCTGGGGCATGGCGTCGGGGCCCACCCCTGGCCCAAGTGCCCCTCCGTCAGGACCGCCTTTGCCTGGCGTGGCAGTTTGGGCGCTCCGAAGGGGATTCGCTGGCCCCCCCCATCGCGGCGTCGCCCTGACCCTCTCCCCCGTGCACGAATTCGTGTTGCATGCCTTTCACCTTCACACCTCCTCTGGCACGGGCTCTAACTTTTATGCCCCAGGGAGCGATCGAGCGAGCGAGGAGGGGGAGGGGGAGGGGGAGGGGGAAGGGTGGGGAGGTGGACTAGGAAGACTAGTCGGAGAATGAGGACGAAGACTGAGGTGAGAAGGTTGGGGAGAAGGAAAGCGTGGAAGAGGAGGACGAGGAGGACGACGCCGACGACGAGCACAAGGACGACGCAGGAGAGGACGAGGACGGCGGATGATGATGATGATGATGATGATGATGATGATGATGATGATGATGATGATGATGATGATGATGATGATGATGATGATGATGATGATGATGATGATGATGGTGATGGTGATGGTGATGGTGATGGTGATGGTGATGGTGATGGTGATGGTGATGGTGATGGTGATGAGGAGGAGGAGGAGGAGGAGGAGGAGCAGGAAGAGGAGGACAAGGATACGTGAGGAGGACGAGGAGGGCGGAAGGCTGGCCCCGGGGAGCCGGGGAAGCGGCATAAACATAAATTGTCGAAGGTCCGCGCGGATTTCTTGGATCTGCGCTGGGCTCCCTGGCGGCACCTCTGGCGCTACCCCTGGGGCGCTGCGCGCCGGACAGGGCAGATCCAGGAATTCCGTGCGGACCTTCGAATGTTTTTGTTGAAACGGTTTGTTTTTCCTCGAGGGGAAGGGGCCAGGACCCTTGGGGCCGCACATGGACAATAACCGCATGCATGTTTTTCCGCAACCTTCGGCCTTCCAGGACCAGCTCGGGATGCAGCTTTCTCGTTGTCGCGGCGGGGCCGGCGGACCACGGAACGTCTGGGAACCTGCGGGGCTGCGGTCGAGTTCATGGTACAGAAGACAGGCTGGAAATGATGGGTCGGGATGAAGCGCCCGCCCTGGGGAAAGGGTCGAGACGTCCGCATTGGAGAGACAGTCCATCGGACTTCAGGGATGCGCGCGTGCGCGCGTGGCTTGCCCTCACGGCTCTTCTGCTACGCCTTGCTTCCCATCTTGCGCTGCCTGCGGTCAGCCAGCCGCCGGAGACCGCGGCGATGCCGCGCGCGACGTTGCCGAACCAAAAAAGGTGTGCGACTCGACACGCCCAGTTTCGCGATGTCGGGGCTTTAGACGGCAGGGCGAGGTGGAGGAATAATAGGACGGGCACATCGGAGCCCCAACAAGAGGTAAACGTGTGTGTGTGTGGTGCCCACCATCGCGGCTGAATTCGCGTTCGTACGTCTTACCAATGTTTATCCGCCAGCGCACTCACTCTGCCTAGCTGCCGACGTAAAACGTGTGGTACCCACCTGTTACGTCGGGTGTAATTCGGCGAATCGTGCCCCAGCTCAGTATTCGCGACAGTGCAGCCACCTCGCAGCTGGAGCAAAACATGTGTGCGTGCGCGGCCAGCAGCTGATCGCCTAAATCGCATTCTCTATCGTCCGAGGTGGTTCTGGTACACGCACGGAGGAGGAGGCGTAGGAGGGATGGGGCTAGAAGGAGCTGGAGTTGGAGGAGGAGGAGGAGGAGGAGGAGGAGGAACGGGAGGACGGGAGGACCAGTGTAAACCCAAGACGCACCAACGATGTCGCAATAAATGTTCCCTCCAAGTTCCCTCCTCGTAGGTCCCTCCAAAAATTGTTATCCTTGCTCGAAGTGCCCCATTAAAAGACAACCGTCCGAGGTAACCCAAACGTGTCAAAACACCATACCTGGGACTTCAATGCAGCTAATCAGCGTGGCTGTTGCGTCCTGACCCGTAAATCGTGCCAGAACACCATTCCTGGGGGACTTCAACACCGCGAACCAACGTTCCTGTATTGCGCCCAGACAATCCTACATCGTGCTGGGGCACCTCTCCTAGGATTTCAACCCCAACGAACCCTTCAAACGGTTGCAGACTTTGAAGACGAGTGTGCGCGGCGTTTATGCGAGAGACACATATTGAGAAGAAACCGCCCTCCATCTTCGAAACCGTTCCAAGCTTTAAAGCAGAATTTGCGCGGCGCCTAGGGGAGAGCCACATTTTGAAAACAACCCACCCTCCATCCTTGAAAAGACTGCAAGCTTTTAACACAAATAGGCGCGGCGCTAAATAGGGCGAGAGCCACATAGAAAAAACGAGCTGTCCTCCATCCGTGAGTCTGTTGCAAAGTTCAAGCTTCAGGATAATGAACGGTGGGGCAGTCTCAGACGAAACGCCCAGGCCGCCCTACCGACACGTCTGGGGGTGCCACAGGGATGAGTTATGTATAATGAAAAGGGATGGAGGAGGACGACGAGGAGGAGGAGGAGGAGGCGGACCTCTGGCCAGGACTTGAGCGGCACTTACGTGGACCGGAACGGCCAGGAGCAGGCCACCTTGGTCCTCAGCGGCAGCGTCGTGAGCGCCACCTACCCTCCCGGCTCCCGCTGGGACCCAGAATCTGGGACCCTGGATGGCAGCACCATCCACATCTTCGGCCTCCGTGGCACCTACCGCGACGGGCAGATCACGTGGGCCAAGAACGGGTCGGTGTGGACCAGGCGCCCGCGCGCCGCGGAAAGCCCAGCGCAGACCAGCGGGCCCAGGGCGTGGGACGACAACGGGGGCCGCTCCGACCGGGGCAGAGGGAAGCCCGCCGCCGGCGGCGCCGAGCAGCACGCCGGCACCAACGGCGCCGCCCAGGCCGCCTGGCAGGCCCCCGCGGCCGCGCGGCAGAGCGAGCCGACGGCCGCGGCGGCCAGTTGCCCCTCCCGCGGGGCTCGGGCCGCTGAGGCGCCCGCCGATCCAGAGGAGTGCGGGGGACCGGAACTGTGCCGAGCCCATGCAGTCCCCCTTGCGTCTGGAGGAGATTGCGACGCGCGGTTTTTGGGCCGCTTTCCGCTCCGGGGGGCCCGCACCAGGCGCCTGGATCGTCTTGAAACGGCTCAGGGTGCCAATCACCGGCCCCAGAGATGGGGTCTAGAGCCTAATTACAGCCAGCACGGATAATAAGGATGAGCAGTTTTCCAAGGTTGCTCTGGCATCCTTCCCTTCCGGCCTATCCTTGGCCGATTTCGCTGGCCGCGCCTCGCTCGAAAAGTGGCGACATGGCCTTCCAAGGCCCTTGCACCCTCATCGCGGATCCTCATTCTACGCGTTGACGGTAGACCTCTTGGGGTCCATGTTGTGAGCAAGCTGCGGCGTCGGAGATCTGGGAAGGTCCGCAAGCCAAGGCTTGCCGAGCCCATGCCGTCCTCCTCGTTAGCTAAGAGACGAATGTTAGCTTGTGATGAACAAATGATGCCCCCCCTCCGCCCCCCCCCCCCGGGCTGATGAGTAGATCCCGCGGGGCGCGAAACATTTTTGAATGGGGGTCGTCGCGGGCGCCGCCGATGGGATCGTACACCCCCCCGCACGGCAGCCTCAAAGCGATGGTCTTTCGTATAGAAGCTGTTGTAGGGATCGTATACGTCCGAGGCGAAGTTCTCCCCCCTCTCAGGCTGACAACGGACGCGCAACAGTCGTCGTCGTCGTTGTCGTCGTCGTGGTCCGTGGCCCTAGTCGTCGACTGCGGCGCGCCTGCTCAGCCCTCCCCCCCGGGGGGCACCCGCAATGCGTCGTCGTTGCCGTCGTCGTCGCGTTGTCATCGTCATCGTGCCGTCGTCGTCGTCGTCGTCGTCGACGACTACGCGGGTCCTACGCAGGACTCCCCCTTGCCCCCCCGTGGGGCGTCCGCAGCAGTGCGCCGTCGTCGTCGTCATCGTCGCATTGTCGTCGACGCGTTGTCGTCAGCGTCGTCGCCGTCGGCGTCGGTGTCGGCGTCGGCGTCGGCGTCGTCGTCGTGGTCGTCGTCGTCGTCGGCGGCGTCGTTGTCGGCGGCGTCGTCTTTGTCGTCGTTGTCGTCGTCATCGTCGTCGGCGTCGTCGTCCTCGTCCTCGTCCTCGTCCTCGTCCTAATCGTCGTCGTCGCCGTCGTCGTCGTCGACGGCGTCGTCGTCGTCGTTTTCCTCGTCGTTGCCGTTTTCCTCGTCGCCGTCGTTGTCGTCGTTGTTGTTGTCGTCGTCGTCGTCGTCGTCGATGTCGTCGTCGTCGTCGGCGTCGTCGTCGTCGCCCCCCGCCCAACCCCACCCATGGAGCATCCGCAGTGCGTTGTCGTGTGCCGTTGCCGTCGTCTAAAAGGATATTGTAGCGGAGGGGGGGTGGAGAAGGAGAAGGAGGAACCCTTCCCGCCTGACTTTGTCGCTTCTCCCCCCTTGTCCACTTCTTGCTTGCAGCCATGTTGGCGCCGCCCGCCAGCTTAAGCGCTGCCTTCTTTGCCTGTCTGCAACCACCCTGGCCCAATCGAGAGGCTATAGCTGAAGCGTTTCTGTCCCCCTCCGCTGAAGCGGCGCCGCTTGCGTCGCGCCTGTTGCCCTCTTGCTGTCGGCCGGGCGTTGTCGCTAATCGCTGGCGCCGTGCGTTTCCATTTGGCGGGCGCCCCGCCCTGCGATTCGCCCGATCAGGGGATTTTTTCCCAACCCTCCTGCGTTGGGTTCTCGTTTTGAATAGAGCACTGCTCGCGCGAACCTTGCTTCCTTCCTTCCCGTCCCTCTCTTCCCCCTGCCTTTGACCTCGCCATCCCTGGGGGGGCTGCGATCTGTGAAACTGTCGCCACTTTCGAGGGCTGCTGAGGGGCCCAGCACAGTGGGTACCCACCGCAGACTCAAATTAGACCTCGCCATCCCTGGGGGGCTGCGATCTGTGAAACTGTCGCCACTTTCGAGGGCTGCTGAGGGGCCCAGCACAGTGGGTACCCACCGCAGATTCAAATTAGACCTCGCCATCCCTGGGGGGCTGCGATCTGTGAAACTGTCGCCACTTTCGATCTGTGAAATCTGTCGCCACTTTCGAGGCCTGCTGGGGGCCCAGCACAGTGGGTACCCACCGCAGATTCAAATTAGACCTCGCCATCCCTGGGGGGCTGCGATCTGTGAAACTGTCGCCACTTTCGAGGCCTGCTGGGGGGCCCAGCACAGTGGGTCGAGCAAATTAGACCTCGCCAGCTGTGAAACTGTCGTTCCAAGCACAGTGGGTACCCACCGCAGACGACCTCGCCATCCCTGGGGGGCTGCGATCTGTGAAAATCGCCACTTTCGAGGGCTGCTGAGGGGCCCAGCACAGTGGGTACCCACCGCAGATTCAAATTAGACCTCGCCATCCCTGGGGGGCTGCGATCTGTGAAACTGTCGCCACTTTCGAGGGCTGCTGAGGGGCCCAGCACAGTGGGTACCCACCGCAGATTCAAACTAGACCTCGCCATCCCTGGGGGGCTGCGATCTGTGAAAGTGTCGCCACTCTCGAGGGCTGCTGAGGGGCCCAGCACAGTGGGTACCCTTCGCAGACTCAAATTCGACCTCGCCGTCCCTGGGGGGCTGCGATTTGTGAAACTGTCGCCACTTTCGCGGGCTGCTGAGGGGCCCAGCACGGTGGGTACCCACCGCAGATTCAAATTGACCTCGCCCTCCCTGGGGGGCTGCGATCTGTGAAACTGTCGCCACTTTCGAGGCTGCTGAGGGGCCCAGCACAGTGGGTACCCACCGCAGATTCAAATTAGACCTCGCCATCCCTGGGGGGCTGCGATCTGTGAAACTGTCGCCACTTTCGAGGGCTGCTGGGGGCCCAGCACAGTGGGTACCCACCGCAGATTCAAATTAGACCTCGCCATCCCTGGGGGGCTGCGATCTGTGAAACTGTCGCCACTTTCGAGGGCTGCTGAGGGGCCCAGCACAGTGGGTACCCAATGCAGACTCAAATTAGACGCCGCTTGTGTCCTTGTTCTCCTCCTGCAGTCACCTTCCTCTGCTGCTGCCGTGCTGATGGTTCGGCTTCCCGCACGTTTTTCTCCTGCTCTGCGTTCCCGACTCCCCATGTCCTCTTCGAGCCTGTAGCTGTCGCCCCTCGTTCTTGTATGGTTCTCCTGCGCATCATGCCATAGGCGCGTGTCCCAAGTAGCTTACACATCAAGTTGATTGTCCATGCAAGTTTCGGCCAACTCCTCGTTTCCATTGATACAAATGGGTTGGGTACGTCACAGGGTAATTTGTTATCACGCACCCCGCTTGTTTCTGTTCATCAGAAGGCGACACTACAGTCAACACGGATAATAAGGATGAGCAGTTTTCCAAGGTTCCTCTGGCATCCTTCCCTTCCGGCCTATCCTTGGCCGCTTTCGCTGGCCGCGCCTCGCTCGAAAAGTGGCGACATGGCCTTCCAAGGCCCTTGCACCCTCATCGCGGAACCTCATTCTACGCGTTGACGGTAGACCTCTTGGGGTCCATGTTGTGAGCAAGCTGCGGCGTCGGAGATCTGGGAAGGTCCGCTAAGCAAGGCGTGCCGAGCCCATGCCGTCCTTCTCGCGCTTTGAAGAAATTGCGACGGGAGGATGTTGGGGCCGCTTTCCGCTTGTGGGGGCCCTCGCCAGGCGCTTGGACCGTCTTAGAACGGGTTGGGATGCCATCGCCAGCCCCAGAGACGGGGCCCATCGAGTGTAGACCTCTGGGGGTCCATGTTGCGAGCGAATCGCGACGTCGGATACTTCGGAAGGTCCGTGAGCCAAGGTAGAGGATGCGGGAGGACATGATTCCGGGCATCGCAATTTATTCGTCTGGCAGGGCATGTGAGGCTCGTTTCGGTAAGGGTGCACGGGCCATGGGTCGAGAGGGAAATGTTCAGATTCGTGGCTACTCCCCAGTGCCGTCTTATATGTTGTTTCTGGGGCCTGTTTTCCGACTCTGTTGCATGCGTTCTGGCGCTCCCTTGTTGAGGGTCGCCAGATCCCGTGTGTTGTATACGGGGCCGCCACGCCCGAGGACTTGAGCGGCACTTACGTGGACCGGAACGGCCAGGAGCAGGCCACCTTGGTCCTCAGCGGCAGCGTCGTGAGCGCCACCTACCCTCCCGGCTCCCGCTGGGACCCAGAATCTGGGACCCTGGATGGCAGCACCATCCACATCTTCGGCCTCCGTGGCACCTACCGCGACGGGCAGATCACGTGGGCCAAGAACGGGTCGGTGTGGACCAGGCGCCCGCGCGCCGCGGAAAGCCCAGCGCAGACCAGCGGGCCCAGGGCGTGGGACGACAACGGGGGCCGCTCCGACCGGGGCAGAGGGAAGCCCGCCGCCGGCGGCGCCGAGCAGCTCGCCGGCACCAACGGCGCCGCCCAGGCCGCCTGGCAGGCCCCCGCGGCCGCGCGGCAGAGCGAGCCGACGGCCGCGGCGGCCAGTTGCCCCTCCCGCGGGGCTCGGGCCGCTGAGGCGCCCGCCGATCCAGAGGAGTGCGGGGGACCGGAACTGTGCCGAGCCCATGCAGTCCCCCTTGCGTCTGGAGGAGATTGCGACGCGCGGTTTTTGGGCCGCTTTCCGCTCCGGGGGGCCCTCACCAGGCGCCTGGATCGTCTTGAAACGGCTCGGGGTGCCAATCACCGGCCCCAGAGATGGGGTCTAGAGGCTAATTACAGCCAGCACGGATAAGAAGGATGAGCAGTTTTCCAAGGTTGCTCTGGCATCCTTCCCTTCCGGCCTATCCTTGGCCGCTTTCGCTGGCCGCGCCTCGCTCGAAAAGTGGCGACATGGCCGTCCAAGGCCCTTGCACCCTCATCGCGGAACCTCATTCTACGCGTTGACGGTAGACCTCTTGGGGTCCATGTTGTGAGCAAGCTGCGGCGTCGGATATCTGGGAAGATCCGCAAGCCAAGGCTTGCCGAGCCCATGCCGTCCTCCTCGTTAGCTAAGAGACGAATGTTAGCTTGTGATGAACAAATGATGCCCCCCCTCCGCCCCCCCCCCCGGGCTGATGAGTAGATCCCGCGGGGCGCGAAACATTTTTGAATGGGGGTCGTCGCGGGCGCCGCCGATGGGATCGTACACCCCCCCGCACGGCAGCCTCAAAGCGATGGTCTTTCGTATAGAAGCTGTTGTAGGGATCGTATACGTCCGAGGCGAAGTTCTCCCCCCTCTCAGGCTGACAACGGACGCGCAACAGTCGTCGTCGTCGTTGTCGTCGTCGTGGTCCGTGGCCCTAGTCGTCGACTGCGGCGCGCCTGCTCAGCCCTCCCCCCCGGGGGGCACCCGCAATGCGTCGTCGTTGCCGTCGTCGTCGCGTTGTCATCGTCATCGTGCCGTCGTCGTCGTCGTCGACGACTACGCGGGTCCTACGCAGGACTCCCCCTTGCCCCCCCGTGGGGCGTCCGCAGCAGTGCGCCGTCGTCGTCGTCATCGTCACATTGTCGTCGACGCGTTGTCGTCAGCGTCGTCGCCGTCGGCGTCGGTGTCGGCGTCGGCGTCGGCGTCGTCGTCGTGGTCGTCGTCGTCGTCGGCGGCGTCGTTGTCGGCGGCGTCGTCTTTGTCGTCGTTGTCGTCGTCATCGTCGTCGGCGTCGTCGTCCTCGTCCTCGTCCTCGTCCTCGTCCTAATCGTCGTCGTCGCCGTCGTCGTCGTCGACGGCGTCGTCGTCGTCGTTTTCCTCGTCGTTGCCGTTTTCCTCGTCGCCGTCGTTGTCGTCGTTGTTGTTGTCGTCGTCGTCGTCGTCGTCGATGTCGTCGTCGTCGTCGGCGTCGTCGTCGTCGCCCCCCGCCCAACCCCACCCATGGAGCATCCGCAGTGCGTTGTCGTGTGCCGTTGCCGTCGTCTAAAAGGATATTGTAGCGGAGGGGGGGTGGAGAAGGAGAAGGAGGAACCCTTCCCGCCTGACTTTGTCGCTTCTCCCCCCTTGTCCACTTCTTGCTTGCAGCCATGTTGGCGCCGCCCGCCAGCTTAAGCGCTGCCTTCTTTGCCTGTCTGCAACCACTCTGGCCCAATCGAGAGGCTATAGCTGAAGCGTTTCTGTCCCCCTCCGCTGAAGCGGCGCCGCTTGCGTCGCGCCTGTTGCCCTCTTGCTGTCGGCCGGGCGTTGTCGCTAATCGCTGGCGCCGTGCGTTTCCATTTGGCGGGCGCCCCGCCCTGCGATTCGCCCGATCAGGGGATTTTTTCCCAACCCTCCTGCGTTGGGTTCTCGTTTTGAGTAGAGCACTGCTCGCGCGAACCTTGCTTCCTTCCTTCCCGTCCCTCTCTTCCCCCTGCCTTTGACCTCGCCATCCCTGGGGGGGCTGCGATCTGTGAAACTGTCGCCACTTTCGAGGGCTGCTGAGGGGCCCAGCACAGTGGGTACCCACCGCAGACTCAAATTAGACCTCGCCATCCCTGGGGGGCTGCGATCTGTGAAACTGTCGCCACTTTCGAGGGCTGCTGAGGGGCCCAGCACAGTGGGTACCCACCGCAGATTCAAACTAGACCTCGCCATCCCTGGGGGGCTGCGATCTGTGAAACTGTCGCCACTTTCGAGGGCTGCTGAGGGGCCCAGCACAGTGGGTACACACCGCAGATTCAAATTAGACCTCGCCATCCCTGGGGGGCTGCGATCTGTGAAACTGTCGCCACTTTCGAGGGCTGCTGAGGGGCCCAGCACAGTGGGTACCCACCGCAGACTCAAATTAGACCTCGCCATCCCTGGGGGGCTGCGATCTGTGAAACTGTCGCCACTTTCGAGGGCTGCTGAGGGGCCCAGCACAGTGGGTACCCACCGCAGACTCAAATTAGACCTCGCCATCCCTGGGGGGCTGCGATCTGTGAAACTGTCGCCGCTTTCGAGGGCTGCTGAGGGGCCCAGCACAGTGGGTACCCACCGCAGATTCAAATTAGACCTCGCCATCCCTGGGGGGCTGCGATCTGTGAAACGGTCGCCACTTTCGAGGGCCGCTGAGGGGCCCAGCACAGTGGGTACCCACCGCAGATTCAAATTAGACCTCGCCATCCCTGGGGGGCTGCGATCTGTGAAAGTGTCGCCACTTCGAGGGCTGCTGAGGGGCCCAGCACAGTGGGTACCCATCGCAGACTCAAATTCGACCTCGCCGTCCCTGGGGGGCTGCGATTTGTGAAACTGTCGCCACTTTCGCGGGCTGCTGGAGGGGCCCAGCGCAGTGGGTACCCACCGCAGATTCAAATTAGACCTCGCCATCCCTGGGGGGCTGCGATCTGTGAAACTGTCGCCACTTTCGAGGGCTGCTGGGGGGCCCAGCACAGTGGGTACCCACCGCAGATTCAAATTAGACCTCGCCATCCCTGGGGGGCTGCGATCTGTGAAACTGTCGATGGGGGGCCCAGCACAGTGGGTACCCACCGCAGATTCAAATTAGACCTCGCCATCCCTGGGGGGCTGCGATCTGTGAAACTGTCGCCACTTTCGAGGGCTGCTGGGGGGCCCAGCACAGTGGGTACCCACCGCAGATTCAAATTAGACCTCGCCATCCCTGGGGGGCTGCGATCTGTGAAACTGTCGCCACTTTCGAGGGCTGCTGAGGGGCCCAGCACAGTGGGTACCCAATGCAGACTCAAATTGACGCCGCTTGTGTCCTTGTTCTCCTCCTGCAGTCACCATCCTTCTGCTGCTGCCGTGCTGATGGTTCGGCTTCCCGCACGTTTTTCTCCTGCTCTGCGTTCCCGACTCCCCATGTCCTCTTCGAGCCTGTAGCTGTCGCCCCTCGTTCTTGTATGGTTCTCCTGCGCATCATGCCATAGGCGCGTGTCCCAAGTAGCTTACACATCAAGTTGATTGTCCATGCAAGTTTCGGCCAACTCCTCGTTTCCATTGATACAAATGGGTTGGGTACGTCACAGGGTAATGTGTTATCACGCACCCCGCTTGTTTCTGTTCATCAGAAGGCGACACTACAGTCAACACGGATAATAAGGATGAGCAGTTTTCCAAGGTTGCTCTGGCATCCTTCCCTTCCGGCCTATCCTTGGCCGCTTTCGCTGGCCGCGCCTCGCTCGAAAAGTGGCGACATGGCCGTCCAAGGCCCTTGCACCCTCATCGCGGAACCTCATTCTACGCGTTGACGGTAGACCTCTTGGGGTCCATGTTGTGAGCAAGCTGCGGCGTCGGAGATCTGGGAAGGTCCGCTAAGCAAGGCGTGCCGAGCCCATGCCGTCTTTCTCGCGCTTTGAAGAAATTGCGACGGGAGGATGTTGGGGCCGCTTTCCGCTTGTGGGGGCCCTCGCCAGGCGCTTGGACCGTCTTAGAACGGGTTGGGACGCCATCGCCAGCCCTAGAGACGGGGCCCATCGAGTGTAGACCTCTGGGGGTCCATGTTGCGAGCGAATCGCGACGTCGGATACTTCGGAAGGTCCGTGAGCCAAGGTAGAGGATGCGGGAGGACATGATTCCGGGCATCGCAATTCATTCGTCTGGCAGGGCATATGAGGCTCGTTTCGGTAAGGGTGCACGGGCCATGGGTCGAGAGGGAAATGTTCAGATTCGTGGCTACTCCCCAGTGCCGTCTTATATGTTGTTTCTGGGGCCTGTTTTCCGACTCTGTTGCATGCGTTCTGGCGCTCCCTTGTTGAGGGTCGCCAGATCCCGTGTGTTGTATACGGGGCCGCCACGCCCGAGGACTTGAGCGGCACTTACGTGGACCGGAACGGCCAGGAGCAGGCCACCTTGGTCCTCAGCGGCAGCGTCGTGAGCGCCACCTACCCTCCCGGCTCCCGCTGGGACCCAGAATCTGGGACCCTGGATGGCAGCACCATCCACATCTTCGGCCTCCGTGGCACCTACCGCGATGGGCAGATCACGTGGGCCAAGAACGGGTCGGTGTGGACCAGGCGCCCGCGCGCCGCGGAAAGCCCAGCGCAGACCAGCGGGCCCAGGGCGTGGGACGACAACGGGGGCCGCTCCGACCGGGGCAGAGGGAAGCCCGCCGCCGGCGGCGCCGAGCAGCTCGCCGGCACCAACGGCGCCGCCCAGGCCGCCTGGCAGGCCCCCGCGGCCGCGCGGCAGAGCGAGCCGACGGCCGCGGCGGCCAGTTGCCCCTCCCGCGGGGCTCGGGCCGCTGAGGCGCCCGCCGATCCGGAGGAGTGCGGGGGACCGGAACTGTGCCGAGCCCATGCAGTCCCCCTTGCGTCTGGAGGAGATTGCGACGCGCGGTTTTTGGGCCGCTTTCCGCTCCGGGGGGCCCTCACCAGGCGCCTGGATCGTCTTGAAACGGCTCGGGGTGCCAATCACCGGCCCCAGAGATGGGGTCTAGAGGCTAATTACAGCCAGCACGGATAATAAGGATGAGCAGTTTTCCAAGGTTGCTCTGGCATCCTTCCCTTCCGGCCTATCCTTGGCCGATTTCGCTGGCCGCGCCTCGCTCGAAAAGTGGCGACATGGCCTTCCAAGGCCCTTGCACCCTCATCGCGGATCCTCATTCTACGCGTTGACGGTAGACCTTTTGGGGTCCATGTTGTGAGCAAGCTGCGGCGTCGGATATCTGGGAAGGTCCGCTAAGCAAGGCGTGCCGAGCCCATGACGTCTTTCTCGCGCTTTGAAGAAATTGCGACGGGAGGATGTTGGGGCCGCTTTCCGCTTGTGGAGGCCCTCGCCAGGCGCTTGGACCGTCTTAGAACGGGTTGGGATGCCATCGCCAGCCCCAGAGACGGGGCCCATCGAGTGTAGACCTCTGGGGGTCCATGTTGCGAGCGAATCGCGACGTCGGATACTTCGGAAGGTCCGTGAGCCAAGGTAGAGGATGCGGGAGGACATGATTCCGGGCATCGCAATTTATTCGTCTGGCAGGGCATGTGAGGCTCGTTTCGGTAAGGGTGCACGGGCCATGGGTCGAGAGGGAAATGTTCAGATTCGTGGCTACTCCCCAGTGCCGTTTTATATGTTGTTTATGGGGCCTGTTTTCCGACTCTGTTGCATGCGTTCTGGCGCTCCCTTGTTGAGGGTCGCCAGATCCCGTGTGTTGTATACGGGGCCGCCACGCCCGAGGACTTGAGCGGCACGTACGTGGACCAGAGCGGCCAGGAGCAGGCCACCTTGGTCCTCAGCGGCAGCGTCGTGAGCGCCACCTACCCTCCCGGCTCCCGCTGGGACCCAGAATCTGGGACCCTGGATGGCAGCACCATCCACATCTTCGGCCTCCGTGGCACCTACCGCGACGGGCAGATCACGTGGGCCAAGAACGGGTCGGTGTGGACCAGGCGCCCGCGCGCCGCGGAAAGCCCAGCGCAGACCAGCGGGCCCAGGGCGTGGGACGACAACGGGGGCCGCTCCGACCGGGGCAGAGGGAAGCCCGCCGCCGGCGGCGCCGAGCAGCACGCCGGCACCAACGGCGCCGCCCAGGCCGCCTGGCAGGCCCCCGCGGCCGCGCGGCAGAGCGAGCCGACGGCCGCGGCGGCCAGTTGCCCCTCCCGCGGGGCTCGGGCCGCTGAGGCGCCCGCCGATCCGGAGGAGTGCGGGGGACCGGAACTGTGCCGAGCCCATGCAGTCCCCTTTGCGTCTGGAGGAGATTGCGACGCGCGGTTTTTGGGCCGCTTTCCGCTCCGGGGGGCCCTCACCAGGCGCCTGGATCGTCTTGAAACGGTTCAGAGTGCCAATCACCGGCCCCAGAGATGGGGCTTGTATATGGTTTAGACCTCTGGGGGTCTATGTTGCGAGCGAATCGAGACGTCGGATACCTCGGAAGATCCGTGAGCCAAGGCTTGCCGAGTACATGCAGTCCTTCTCGCGTCCCCAAGAAATCGAAGACGCTTTCGGCGAATCACCGCCACCCTTTGTATTTTGGAAGCGTTGTGAGTTGCGCGTTGGCTAGATCGTAGGAAACGACAAAACCATTCTTCATGCTCCAAAAGTACTCTTCGTCGTCTTGGTACAAACACTCCAGAAATGCTCTCGGGTTTCCTGAAGATGTGCAGGCTGCTCCAAAAATGCTTACAACGTTTTGCGCGCGTTTTTGAATATGATTCAAATATGCTCCTGCGGTTCTGCGAATTATTTGCACATGTTCCACTCATCCTCGTGTGGCTATGTGTGGTTAGTCAAGTTGTCCCAAAGATTTTGGTGACATTCAGCACAATATTTGAACGCGTTTGAGTGGCCGAGGCATGAACGTGTCCACATCATCGCCAGCGTTCACCCAGCATTGTTTTACAAACGTACCAGATGTATGTAATGTATGTAGGAGCGTCACGACTCATGAGGAACGGGAGGCCTACGGATGGTGAGGAGGGAAGGGGGGGAGAGGGGGGGACGTTGGGTTGCAACTCCAACCCAATCAACCAGCATGCAAGAAGCAATGGTTAATTCGAGCCCAGTCCGTCCCTGCTTTCCGAAGCATTCCCAAATCCTCCTCCTCAACCTCCAGCTCCTCCTTTTCGTCCTCCCTCTTGTCCTCCTCATTCTCCCACTCCTCCGCGTCGTCGTCGTCCTCAGCTGGGAGGCGCGCGGCGCGCGCCGAAGGTTATCCTGGAGGCCGGGCATCCATGAACAACCGCAAACCAAATTGTGACCATCGGCCCCTGGAAGTTTCGCGGAGCCAGGAGCAGGTTGGCCAGGAGACGTAGCATTCGTTTCAGCATGAACGGGGAGGAGCATATTGGGAGCATTGTTTGAGCATGATTTGAGCATGTTTGGAGCATTGCATGCTTTGAGCATTATTTGATTATTTGATCATCTTTGCAGCATTTATAAATTTTCGCGAGCGGTTCCAATTTCGAAACAGGTTCTCACAATTGGTGAGCATCGTACCCTGTATGATCCGCAGGTATTGGAGCATCGGGGGGGACTCCACATTTACACAGATTCCCGCCTCGGGCATTTGCAAAGTCCAGAACTCTGCACATCTTACCCGAACTAGTCGGCATCTGCTCATTTGGGGGTAGCGGGGTCGCGGACTTATGGCGGCCGTCAGAAGGCAGAGAAAAGCAAATGCAAAAATCATTCAAAAAGCCGTGGAAGCAATGATTTGGGCCCCTTCAGGCCTTCCTGGAGGACCTCTTGGAGGCCTCTTGAGCCGTCTTAGAGGCCTCTTGAGGGCCTCATGGGCCTTCTTGGGCCATCCTGAGGCCGTCTTGGGCCGTCTTGGGTGCATTTTGGGGCGTCTAGGAGACATGACATCTTGCCGCCATCTTGAATTCTAGTGGGGCCATTTTGGCCGTCCTGGAGGCCATCTTGGGGCCATCTTCGGAGGGATGGCCAATAGAGAGCGAAATTGGCGGGGCTTTCCGAACGGCCCTAGGCTTGGGCCGAGACCCCACTGGAAATGTTTAAAAAGAACCCGAATACCCCGCCGTGCAGCCCTGTGATCAATCACCAGGGAGCGGCGGGTTACGACAGTTGGTTTGGGGCCGTTTTCGGCTTCTAGGGGCTCTCACCGGACGCCCAGACTATCTGAAAACAGCTCGGGATGCCAATCATCTGCCCCAGATATTGGGTCTAGAGTCTAGACTTTTCGGGGTCCATGTTGTGAACGACTTGCGACGTCGGAGACTTGGGAAGGTCCGTGAGCCAAGGTTTGGCGGGCCTATGCAGTTCTCGCGTCTTGAAGAAATTGCGATGAGCGATTTTTGCAGCCGTTTTCGGTTCCTGGAGGGTCTCACTGGGCACTTGGACTGTTTGGAAACGGCTCGAGATTCCAACCATCGGCCCCGGAGATGGGGTCTAGAGTCTAGACCTTTTGGGTTCCGTGTTGTGAACGATTTGCGACGTCGGAGGTTTGGGAAGGTCCCTGAGCCAAGGCTTGCCGATTACATGCAGTCCTTCTCTCGTTTCGAAGAGATTTCGACGGGAGGTTCTGGGACCTTTTCGGCTCCTGGAGGGCGTCACCACGCGCCTGGACGTCTCTGCGCCTCGGAATGCCAATCGTCGGCCACGATGATGGGGTCTAGACTCTAGATATCTGGGGATCCATGTTGTGAGCGAATCGCGACGCCAGAGATCTGAGAAGGTCCTTGAGCCAAGGTTTGCCGAGCCCATGCAGCCATTTTCGCTTTAGGAAGAACTTGCGACGGGAGGCTTTTTGGACATTTTCGGTTTCTGGGGGCTTTTAACGGCGCCTGGACTATCTTTAAACGGCTCGGGATGCAAATCATCTGCCTCGGAGATAGTGTCTAGAGTCTAGACCTTTCGGGGTCCATGTTGTGAGCGACTTGCGACGCCGGAGATCTGGGAAGGTCCGTGTGCGAAGGTTTGCCCGGCCCATGCAGTCATCTTCCCCTCTGGAAAAAAATGCGACGGGCGTTTTTGGAACCGCTCTCGGCTTCAGGAGGGCATCACCAAGCGTCTGAACCGTCTTAAAACGCCTCGGGGTGCCAATCATCTGCCCCAGAAATGGGGTCTAGAGTCTAGACCGCAGGGGTCCATGTTGTGAACGAATCGTGACGTCGGAGGTTTGGGAAGGTCAGTGAGCCAAGGTTTGCCGAGCCCATGCGTTCCTCCTCGCGCCTTGAAGATATTGCGACGGGAGGTTTGGGGCCGTTTTCGGAATTTGGGGGGCCCTCACCGGGCGCCTGGACCGTCCTAGAAGGGCCTGGGATGCCACTCAACGGTCCCAGAGGATGGATCTATAGACACGTCTAGACCTTTCGAGATCTATGTTGCGAGCGAATCGCGACGTTGGAGACCCTGGGAGGTCCGTGAGCCAAGGTTTGCCAATTACATTTGCGTGTGCAGAGTCAAGGCCTCAAATTCGTCATCAACCTCGCCTTTTTCTTGGTATGATCAACCGAAAAACTTCCTTTCTCTCCGCTTCTGCTCCTCGGTGCGCCGCTCGCGTCCCCCTCACGCGTTTATCCTTCGCCCCCCTTTTCTATCCTTAGCCACTTCCTGCCCCCATTCTCCGTCATTCGGTTGGCCCCAGAGGTGGCCCTCGAGGCTTTTGTAGCAGACCTCCCATCCTCTCTTCTTCGTCGTCCCTCCCCTGCGTGACTGTCCAGACCGTTGCGGCACTTGCACGAAAAAACACAAACCAATTCTGTTCTGTCATGTTCTGCTCGGGTATGTTCTGTGATATGCTGGTGTCCTCCATTCTGTCATGATATTGATATTTTATGTTCTGCCATGTTTTGCTCTGTTCTGTCATATTCTGTTGTGTCATATTGTGTTCTGTTGTGTTTGTCGAGGGCGCGAGGCGGGACACCCAGAATTCTCGGGGCAACTTGGGGTCCGGCGGCCGCGGTATGCACGGTGTGTTCTGTTGTGTTTGTCGAGAGCGCGAGGCGGGATAACCGGGACGCTCGGGGCAAGTTGGGGTCCGGCGGCCGCGGTCTGCAAGGTGTGTTCTGTCGTGTTTGTCGAGGGAGCGAGGCGGGATAACCGGGGCACTGGGGACAATTTGGGGTCTGGCGGCCGCGGTATGCAGGGTGCGTTCTGTCGTGTTTGTCGAGGGCGCGAGGCGGGATATCCGGGACACTCGGGACAACTTGGGGTCTGGCGGCCGCGGTATGCAGGCTGGGAGTGGCCGGGGGCTTGTTTTTTAACTCTAGCGACCCCAACCTGTCCGGTGGGGAACAACACCAAAAACACAGAAAAAAGAAGAAGCAAAAACACACCATACAATACCGGACGGTACTATTAGTATCAATTAAAATTAGTACTACTACTACTACTACTACTACTACTACTACTACTACTACTAATGTTACTACTACTACTACTACTACTACTACTACTACTTCTACGACTCATACTTTTATTATTATTGATTCGACTACTACTAGTAGTATTGCTAGTACGACTCGTACGAGTAGTCTTATTACTAGCGCTACTACTAGTACTATTTCTATTACTACTACTACTACTACTACTACTACTACTAGTACCACTACTACTACTACTACTACTAGTACTACTACTACTACTACTACTACTACTACTACTACGTCTACTACTACTGCTACTACTATTACTACTACTACTACTAGTCCTAGTATTATTTAATTTACTACTACTTGTATTAAACTTACTTCAATTACTAGTACTACTGCTGGTACTACGACTACTACGGCAATTACTACTACTACTACTACTACTACTACTACAAATATTATTACTACTATTACGACGACTACGATTACTACAACTACTACCGCTACCACTCTTTGTACTACTACTACTACTACTACTACCATACTACTACTACTACTACTACTACTACTACTACTACTACTACTACTACTACTACTACTACTACTACTACTACTACTACTACTACTACTACTACTACTACTACTACTTCTAGTACTACTACTACTACTACTACTACCATATTACTACTATTACTACTACTACTACTACCACTACTACTACTAACATGACTACTATTCCGAATATTGCTACTACTACTACTACTGCCGCTACTACTACTATACAACTACTACTACTACGACTAATACCAAAAATACTACCGTTATTTCTACTGCTGCTACTAGTACTACTACTACTACTACTACTACTACTACTACTACTACTACTACCACTACGCTTATCAGTACTATTACTCTGCTGATCACCGCTACCACGACGACCACTACTAGTACGACTGCGACTATAACTATTATTTCTACTACTACTACTACTACTACTGCGACGACGACGACTACTACTACGACTACTGCTACGTCTACACATTCGGCTGCGACTACGACTACCAGCATTACTGCTACTAGCTCTACCACGACGACTACTAGTACTAGTGCTTCTGTTGTTGTTTTTACAACTGCTTCTATTATTCTTACCAGATTTACTACTACTACTACTACTACTTCTATTACTAATAGGATTATTCTTACTACTACCACTATTCCTAGCAGGACGACTACTGTTATCACTAGCGCTACTGCGTCTACCTACTACTATTATTTCTGCCGCTATTATTTTTATCATTATTTATATGACTACTACTACTACTACTCCTACTACTACTTCTACTCTGACTACTACTACTACTACTACTACTACTACTACTACTACTACGACTACGACTATGCCAACCAGTATTACTTCTAAGACTACTCTTACTACTAATACTACTACTACTACTACTACTACTACTACTACGTCTACCCCCACTGCTACTATTACTACTACTACTACGACCACTACTACTATTACTACTACTGCTACTACTACTACTACTACCACTACTACTACTACAACTACTACCACAACTGATATTATCATGGCGTTGACTACTACTACTACTACTACTACTACTACTACTACTACTACTACTACTCCTACTCCTACCACTACTTCTACTACTACTACTACTATCGCTACTTCTACGACTATTGCTACTAAGTATTATTGCGACGACGACTAGTACGATTACTACTACTACTACAAACACGGCTACCACTACCATTATTCTGATTACTATTGCTACTACTACTACTACTATTACTACTACTACGACTACTACTACTACTACTACTAGTACTACTTCGTCTGCTCTTATCTTCATTCAACTGCTAGTACTGCGATTACGATTGTTACAACTACTACGACCAACAGCACTACTACTACTGCAACCACTGCTTCTACTACTACTACAACTACTACTACTACTACTACTACTACTACTACTACTACTGTTATTACTATGTCTACTACTACTACCAATATTACTCTTACTATCACTACTACTACTACCACTACTACCACTACTACTGCTACTACTACTACTACTTCTACTACTACTACTACTACTACTACTACTATTACAACAGTTCGTATTACTACTACTACTACTACTACTACTACTATTACTACTACTACTATTACTACTAGCACTACTACGACGGCGACTACTACTACTACTACTACTACTACTACTACTACTACTATTACTTCAAAAGTATTATTTCCACGACATCTATTACTATGTCTACTACTACTACTACTACTGCTACTACTACTACTACTACGACAACTACTACTACTACTACTACTACTACTACTACTACTACTACTACTACTACTACTACTATGACTACTACGACTACTACGCCAACTACCTCTACTACTACTACTACTACTGCTGCTGGTGCTGCTGCTACTACTACTACTAGTACAATTACTACCACTACTACTACTACTACTACTACTACTACTACTACTACTACTACTACTACTACTATTACTACTACTCTACTACTACTACCACTACTACTACCACCACTACTACTACTACTACTACTACTACTACTACTACTACTACTACTACTACCACTACTATTACTACTACTACTACTACTACTACTACTACTACTACTACTACTACGACTACTACTACTACTACTACTACTACTACTATTACGGCTATTACGGCGATTACGGCTATTACGGATGCGGGAGGACCTAGTTCCAGGCCTCGCAGTTTTCATTGACCTCGCAGTCGTTACAGAACGCATGGGGGGCTTGATGAGGATGCACGGTCCCTGAGTCGAGCGAGAACATTTGTTTTCGTGGTTTTTCCCCCGTGTTCAGCCAGGCTTTGGTGTTTGATGTTCTGTCTGATGTACGGGGCCCGTTTTCCGTGTCTACTGTATACATCATGGCGCTTCCTTCTTGAGGGTCGCCCGACCCCGTAATTACGTTGTTTCGATCGGTGGGTCTCTCTGGAGTCCGTGCACGTAACTGTGACTCGCGGCGGGGCGATTGGTGCGATGCGATCCGGCTGGATTGGTTTCCGCGTCGGCCACATGGGGGCCGCCACGCCTTAGGACTTGAGCGGCACGTACGTGGACCAGAGCGGCCAGGAGCAGGCCACCTTGGTCCTCAATGGAAGCGTCGTGAGCGCCACCTACCCTCCCGGCTCCCGCTGGGACCCAGAATCTGGGACCCTGGATGGCAGCACCATCCACATCTTCGGCCTCCGTGGCACCTACCGCGACGGGCAGATCACGTGGGCCAAGAACGGGTCGGTGTGGACCAGGCGCCCGCGCGCCGCGGAAAGCCCAGCGCAGACCAGCGGGCCCAGGGCGTGGGACGACAACGGGGGCCGCTCCGACCGGTGCGGCGGGAGGCCCGCCGCCGGCGGCGCCGAGCGGCGCGCCGCCCAGGCCGCCTGGCAGACCCCCGCGGCTTCGCAGCAGAGCGAACCGACGGCCGCCGCGGCCGGCTGCCCCCGCGCCGCCCGCGGCGGGCCCGCGCACCGCGCGGACACCCACAGCGCTGCCTCGGCCGCCGCCGCGGCCGCGTGGCCCGCGGGCGCCTGCGCGGAGCCGCGCGCGGGCACCAGATGGCGGCTGCCCGCAGCCGCGGAGGCGCCGGGGCCGGCAGCGGCCGCGGCCGTCGGGCCTCCCGGCGGGGCTCAGGCGTAGGGGGGCAAGCATTGGCGCAAGCATAGGAGTTCGGAGGTCCACGCGGCTTCGTCGGATCGGCGCTGGGGCCCCCCCTCGCGGCGCCTCCGTCGCCAACCCGCGCCAGGGAGGGGTGTCCAGCACCGATATTGGCAGTCCGTGCTGACCTCCGAGTCTTTCGCTACCCACCAGACCACCCCAACGGCGTTCAAGGTTGAACGCCGCCAGTGGCCCAGAATCGGCCCAATATGGAACGATCTGGCAATCGATAAGTCGCCGATCGTTCAAGGTTGAACGATCCACGCGATGTCAGAAACCAACGCTGGGGTTGTCACGACACGAACTCACCGTATGCTTATGCCACTGCGTGTTCCTCTAAGGAGTCGGGCAGAGTCGCGGAGCAGGAGGAGCCCCGGGGAACAATCCAGGAGCAAGAAATCGGGGGGCCCCAAGCGGCGTGGTGACCACACCGCGTGGTGGGTCAGTGGGAGTTCGGGGTCACCGCACGGGTTTGGGGCTCGAGTCGTTCCCTGAAGACGCCTCGGGCGACTGGGGCGTCCGGGGTCCCAAGACCGTGCGGTGACAGATCGCGCGGTGGGGTCTCCTTAGGATTTCGAGGTCACCGTGCGCTCCGTCACCCCACGGTGTTGGGACCTCCGAATAACAAAGGTCTGGTCAGCGCTCGGGTCGTGCGAGTCCCTTCAGGTGTCGTTGTGGAGGCCCGAATGCTGTCCTGACTCGTCGTGGCCCTGAGGCGGCAGTTCCACAGCTGATCAGTCAGGTCAGTGCTCGGGCGGCCCCTTCGGCACTCGAGCGACTCCCTTGGAGCCCAGCGGAAACTTTTTCTTTTTGGTGACCCATGATCGTGCGTGTGTGGCCAGATCTCTCCAGCGAAGTGGTCTTTGTCGGCCCCTGCGTTTTTCCAGAGTTCCCGCCTTTGTGCGACCCGTCTTCGGGCTGCGGGGCCCTCAGAAACGGGTCCGGGATGAAAAGCTACGGGGTGGGCCCCCCTCGGGCCGCGCCATGAGCAGAGTCACGTCGTCAGATGTCTTGATGAGTAAGAGGAGGGAGCGGAGGACGAGGAGGAGCGGCAGCAAGAGCAGATGGACCAGGATATGGACGAGGAAGAGGGGAGGGTGAATCTGGGGGGTGGGGTAGGGGAGGGATGTAGCAGGGAGAGGGAGGGAGCGCACGCAGGGGGGAAGGGGGCCACCCTCCTCCCAGCACAATCCTCCTCCTCCTCCTCCTCCTCCTCCTCCTCCTTTCTATCCGATTCTATCCCCCTGGCCATCATCACGCTTGTCCCCCTCTTCCTTCTCCTCGTCTTGCGTCCTCTTCCCCCCTCGAAGTCTCGAAGTTGTGGACTGTCTTGTGGAACGACTGATGCCCTCGAACCCCTCCCGCCTGGCCAACGCCAGGGGGAGGGAAGAAAACACCAACAGGTACGGAGAGGAAGAAGGAGACAGTCATGTAGTCGACTTCCGGAAAGTACCTGACAGGAGGGAGAGAGTGGCGGGGGGAGGCTGTAGGTGTGGCCCGAGCGTGGGCCCTAGCCCCCCGGGGGGGAGCTGGAACCCACCCACCTCGGCGCGTCGCATGTGGAGCGGGCCCTCCTCCCCCCCCATCCAAGGCACAAAAGCTCCAGAGGTCGGCGAGGAGTGTGTTGCGGCGCTGCGGCAACGCGGCTGAACGAAGTGTGGGCGGAGGGCGGGTTGATTAGGCGAAACCGCAGCGGTTTGTGCGAGTTGTATTTCATACGGTGTGTTTTGGAGACTTGCAGCATCATTCGTTACAGTGTACCTTTTCCCCGTTCCCCGCTTCAGCAGGCGTGTAGCAGCGAACACAGCAGAGCACTGTTGTACAGCAGCATGTTCATGATCTGACGCTGTTTCGGCTGACTCAGTTCGAGAGGTCTCTTGCACTTGGCAGAAAGGTACGCCTACTCCAGATCAGCACGCAAAGCGATTGTTGACACGGAGATCGAGGATGATTGGGCAGAATCACAATCCGATTCGAGCACGGTTGACGACTTCGTGTGCGATCTAATAGTTGACATTGGTAGCGGAGCAGCTGATCCATGAACGGACAGACAGATTACGATTATCCAGTACAGTGCAAACCATGGGACCGCGTGGTGGGGGAAAGGAGCCGTCGCAGCAACGCGACCAGAAGGCAGCGGCCAAACTTCAGCAGCACACCTCGGCAAAATATTAGAGCTCGATGGCTTAATCGATGGCTACAAGACGTTCAGAAAGAAGGTGGATATCTACGCCGCGCGAACTCGAGGTCGAGAACAAGGGAAAGGACCAGGGCTCGATATCATGCAAGGGCTGTTAGGCAGAGCTTGGGAAGTGGTCGAGGATATCCCGACAACAGATATCGAGAAGGAACAAGGGTGGCAGGACATTCTAGAAGCGTTCGGCAGGGCATACACATATTACAAGATTACGGATCTCCCGGCAAATTACGATACTTGAGGTTTCAAAGCAGCCCGCAAGCCCAAGGAGACTCTGATCGACTACTTAACGAGATTTCGGACGTCAGAGCGGCAATTGCGATCGCATGAGCTGGTTCTACCAGGCAAGATGCTTGTTTAGCTTCTGTTGCGAAGGGCAGGAATGGACAAAAAAGGCAAGCAATTCAGCGTGAACCCAGTGGGAGGTGACCTTTCACTGATCCAGGTCGAGAGCGAGATGGAGAAGACGTTCGTCTTGGTTTCTTATGCAAGCCGCCGTGCGAGCTCGGGAGCTGCAACCTGCAACGTGGACGAGTATGAGGAGCGCGACGAGTTCCAAGAGGACGCCCACTACGGAGACGAAACGAGTTCACCTACTGCGACGACGGCGGCGAGGACCACTACGCAGACTACCGAAGAAAGGGTTTCGACGCGGAGGCGGCCTACGACAGTGAGGCCGCCACGCTCAACACCCGCATGCCAGACAAGGCTTATGATGTGGATCAGTGCGATGAGATCGTGGCAGCGCATAGAGACGCGCGGAAGAAGATGAACGATATGAGGCTGGCCAGATGTTTCTACCTTGCCACGGTTGTGGCGCAGCCGCCGGCGCCGCCAGCTAGAAGCGCAACTCGGATCATTATTCGAGGGCGCCTGGCGGACGCTGTCGCGGCGGAGGAACAAAAGGCAGACCTGCGAATTGAGAGCAACCGAAAGGGCGCAGCAGGACGCGATGCCAACGTGGGCCGCGACCGGGATTCCCCGAAGAGGCTCAGCAAATATTGCAGTAAAGACGGCGCGCCTGAGATATTGAGAACCAGGACATTCCGCTCGAGACTGCCCACGCAAGAGCAGGAAACGAATTCGTGCGTCGGAGGGCGCGCGCGACGTCAGGATGATCACCGACGCGGACCCCGACCAGATCTACAACGCCGACGAACAAGGCCCGACCGAAGCTGTACACGACAGTGGAGCCACCAGCGTGATCGCGGGAGGCGAGGCGCTCAAGGCGCACTTTCAGAGGCTAGTCCTGAGTGGCTTCCGAGTGCAGAAGATGTGTTTTTTTCGCGTGCTCCAACCGTTTCAGGTACGGTATTGGAAATGTGGGAAATGACGCGACTGGCGACGTGGCCGCATGTGCAGTTGTTCTTTCGTTCTTTGGAGGCCGCTTTGTGGGCATTCAGACGCGCGGCAACCCAGGTCGCGCGCCGCTTCTGTTCGCCAGGCCCAGCATGGAGGATCTTGGTATGGTCGCGGACTACAAGAATTAGGGGGCGCGGTGGGGCGGCGATGGCATCTGGTTTTCACTTCTCCAGCAAGCTCAACGAGGACACTGCGTGATCGATGCGCTGGAGAGCAACGACGCACGCGCGAATGACCGAGCCGACCAGACTCTCTTACCGCAGAATATGCAAGACCACGCCCGCGCGCATCACCCGATCAGCCCCCGCGCAATTCTTGGAGACGAGGTGCTGCCATGCGAGGGCCCCCTCGGCTGCGTCGGCGCCCTGGGCGAGATCTCCAGGGCAGAAGGAGAGGGCGAAAACGTCGTTTTGGCCAAGGGCGTCGGCAACGAGCAGCTTCGCCGATGCCAAGACGCAGTGCACATAGCTTGCAAGGAGGCGCGCCGCGACCTGGATAGGGCGAGCGACGCGCAGCGTGGCGGGCGGAATGTCCGGGGGGGACTGCGGCGGCCAATCGGAGCTCGCAGCGGAACTAAGATGACGAGGGCTCCGGGCCAGGATGTTCGGATTGCGCGTCGGTTGAGATTTCAGCGACACGCGTGCACGGGCGAAGCTTCTCTGGATGATTTGGCGCGAGGAGCCGGGCGGCATCTGGGTGGGCCCTGAGCGCAGGCCACGGTCCATGATTCAGGAGATTTGTTGCAGGATTGGGAAGTCCCGCTCGCTCTCGAATGCTCGCAGGACAGGACATCGCGACGCGCGCTTGATTTTCTGCGAGATCATCTGCCTCGCGCAGTGGGCACTGGGAGGCAGATCGAGACGCCCATGTGGAGCAGCCCGCGACAGCGAGAGGTTGGGAGACGATGGCTCTGCGCAACCTGCTGGGGCATCGCGCGCTTCTTGATCGGTGCATGACCGGATTGCAGACGCGTTGAGCAGGGCCCGCTCGCGCGAGGATTGGAATTCGCGCCGCCGGACGGCGACTCGCCGAGGGTCTGCGCGACTACCGGCGCAACGAGAGCGACGACCACGCGTAGCTCGATGGCAGGGCGCAGGACGCCAGCGCGCACGGGGCGAAGTTTGCAGAGAACTACGCGCCTCAGTTGGTCCACATCCTGCGCGACCTGCTAAGCAAGTCGACGCGCCAGACGCATCCTCGTCGCGCTCGGGTTCGAGGATGGCGAGGGCCCCGCGGGGCGCAATTATCGCGCCGCGGTGGACCTCGACGACGAAAACGCGAAGGACATGAACGCCGACGGGCTCGTCAAGAGCGAGTTCGGCCAGAAAGCGTTCTGGCGCGTGGAACGGCCCCGCAAGAGCTCGGGCCACCCCCGCGCCGAAACGTTCGCGCGCGGGCTGACGACAGCGGGCGCGCGCGCGAG